CGTCAATTTTACCCCTAAAGAGTTATCTGGTGTCTAGTAGGGCTCGAAAGCTTCACAAAAGCAGATCCAAGGTTAGATGAGACCTAAGGTGAAGCATTTGCTACTACATCGATCCTGTAGGGTTTTGGTCCGACTGAGGGCAGTTATTACCATCCTCATCATTGACATAGGCTCCTTTGCGTAACAACTGCCTAATTCAGTAACAGATTTCGCACGTTTCAGAGCCAGGCGGACGACGCATGTCCCAAGCTGTTACAGCGAGGAATGTGACACTATTGAAACGATGAATAGGAGAAATGCGCTCCGGGATAGCGTAGGGTCAGGAGCGCATGGCCACCTAGGGCATAACGACATATAACATTGAATGGCCTTGGATTGGTCTGCATGGGGTTGTTTCACTGGCTATGGTAGTTTTCTTTTCCTGGTCACTCACTTCCAGGGCCCATCTGGGGTAAGAGTTCCTGTCTGGAAAACGAGCAGCATCCTGGCAATTTTGTATTGATGCTATCTTGTATCAAATATTATGCGGGATGAGCAGGCGTCTGAGGAACTAGAAAGGAGAGCCAAGGCAGCACAAGCAAAATTGCTACTCATGGATCATCAAAATCCAACACCTCATGTTCGAGCAGGGTAGAGTCACTAAAGGGGGTAGAAACCTTTTGGTTCCTAATATTGTGAAGGCGAGCAGGGCACGGGGTCCATCTGATTCAACATATTCACAATTTTAGCTATAGCAGAGTAACTACAAGAGCTGTTCTATCAGGCGTTTATTAGCAAGATAATCCCCATTGTCTCAAATTACAACAAGTCGTAATTTTCAAGCGAGTCAGAGGCTATCAAGTCTAGGTCCGTTCGGTTTTCTAGCGTCTACATGGGGGCTTTTTAGTATCTTCAGTCTAATGAAGTCGGTGATAGCAAACAGCAATACTAATGACGATCCGCAAACATAAATTCCCGTGCTAGGATGTCACGTTGCCTTGGCAAAATCACCCCGCATTCTAACTTCCGGTTGACAGTAGACACCCTTGTACATAGAGCGGGGAATGATAAGAAGCTATCACTAACAACCGAAGAAGGAGGGATGCCTCTTATCCCCGGTATTTCACCCGGCTTATAGAAGGGAGGGGTGAGCCATTCCGGCTTTTCTGGGATCGATCATCCGAAGTCTCACTTGTTATCCCCTAATATCCTTTCAATTTGTCAACATGGCCGAGTCGAAGACAGCAGCAACCCCTCGGGATGAGGAAGAGGATGATCAACGAGATTGGAAACAGCCTGAGGCTATAGCGAATGCTTTTGCTGGCGAAGATGGACCGCCAAACCCATGGGGCCGCGGCCACTTGCAGCTTTACTTGGCGTGTCTCTTGATTTACCTATGCTCTACGATGAATGGTAAGTACCTAAACGCGCACTGAGCAGTTTCATGTGCTCATGTTGATTGATAGGCTACGATGGCTCCCTGATGGGCTCGATCAACGTCATCCCTGATTACCAGAATTACTACGGTTTGAAAGAAGGCGGCACATCCACCACGGGCCTGGTATTCTCTATATGGAACATTGGTCAAATCGCAGGAGCTTTATTTACTTGGCTCTGCGACTGGAGAGGGCGTAAACGGACACTCCTGGTCAGCGCATTCGGCGTCGTCTGCTCTGCCGTCTTTACTGCCTTGGCACCTACATTGCCTGCTTTCATCGGCGCTCGATTCCTCATCAGTTTCTTCTCAACCATCACTTGCCTGGCTGCTCCGGTACTCCTAGTTGAGATCGCTCCGCCGCTACATCGTGCAACTGTTGCGGGAGTTTACAACACTTTATACTACATGGGAAGCATCATCGCCACATTTGGTAAGCAAACAGTCTTCGAACAAGTCATTGTACTTTGCTAACTATTAATATAGCCATGTATGGAGCCAATCTTCACCTACATGGGAATGCGAAGTGGCGGCTTCCACTTTGGCTGCAAATACTGTGCCCCGGCATAGTCTGCCTCGGAGGCTGGTTTCTTCCCGAGAGTCCTCGATGGCTTGTCGCTCAGGGACGGATCGATCAAGCCCGTGATTTCATCGTCAAATACCACGCAAACGGAGATGCCACACATCCTATTGTCGCCATAGAAATGCACGAGATCGAACAATCGCTTGTCGAAACTAGAGGGCGCTCGGCATGGGCCTGCTTCGATGTGCGCACCTTGTTCAAGTCCCGCGCTCGGCTCTATCGAGTAATGCTCGTGATTTCCATGGCTTGGTTTGGGCAATTTTCTGGGAACAATGTGGCGAGTTATTATTTGCCCATGATGATCAAGAATGTGGGAATCAAGTCGACAAACATGGCACTGTTGCTAAATGCCATTTACGCAGTGACGGGATGGGTTGCTGCAACCATCGGAGGTAAGTTAAAAGGCAAAACTAAGATTGTTTTTTAATTTGCTTATGCGTCTTTTGTATAGCTCGCCTTCACGACGTCGTCGGCCGCCGAAAGATGTTCATGGCTTCATGCTTGGGAATGTCTGTAGCATTGGCCATCATGGCTGGAACAGCAGCAGAATACGAGAGATCTGGAAGCTCGGCGAGCAGTTCGGCCAGCATCGCTTTCATCTTCGTATTCGGTGTTATCTTTGCCGTCAGTTTCACTCCGATGCAACCGATATATCCTGCCGAGGTGCTCGCGAGTAAGTTTACAAGTCGAAATTTCTGATGCGTGAACAGTGGCTAAATTGATTTTGCAGATGATATGCGAGCAAACGGTATGATGGTTTACAAATTGACTGCCGGATGTGCCAGCTTCGTCAACACGTTTGCAGCTCCGGTGGCTATGGCCAACATCAAATACTGGTTGTAAGTCATGGATGCTCCCTTGCTCACGATTTTTTGTCTAAATGACTAACCTTGAAATTCAGCTACGTATTCTTCGTCTTCTGGGACCTGTTTGAGTTTGTATTTGTCTACTTTTTCTTTGTCGAGACCAAGGGCCGTACTCTTGAAGAACTAGACAGGGTGTTTGAGTCCAAGAACCCCCGGAAGACGAGCACTCGCAAATTATCGTCTTAGGGTATTCTCTAGTTGCAAGACTTCCGGTTTCTTGCGCGAAATCTTGACCAATTTTTCGCTTCATCTATCCGAAAATCAAGCTAAAATTAGAGGCCATCCCGTCAAATTGTTTGACGACCACCGCACTACTTTGCATCAGAAGGAATGGAAATTCTAGCTGCATAGATATGAGTTTTAAATAAAATATCCAATACTGATGAATAAGAATATTTCTCCATGTCATCACTTGCGCGTCAGGAAATGTGGTTCACTCGGCAGGGATCAGGGCCCCAAAAACTTGGTAATGGGCCACCAGAAACGTAATTGAAGCATGATGTCATCATCATCAGCGATTGATCTCCAACAGATGAAAATCGTCTCATGACGCATGAAATAAATGAAATGTATCTCTTATTATTCTCAGGATCTGACTCTATTCTCACATCTCAGAATCACTGATATCCCAATCAGAAGCGACAATGAACATCAACGTTCCCAATCTCATCAAAGAGGCCGTACCGGAATCAAAAGGCCGCAATGTTCAGATAATATCCCAGAATGGACCCAACCATCGGGATGCTAATTTTCTTTCCGACGATTTCCCACGATCGCCCGGCAAATTATACATCACGGCTGAGACCGATGACTTCGACCCTGCTACGATCGAGGATTGGCGCAACGAGGGCTTCGATGTTGAATATTTTTCTATCGAAAGCTGCAAGAAATATGGATACATAGACAAGATCAAGTCCTTGAGCAAGGAGAAGATGGGGCCTTGCGACAAATTTGGAATCATAGGTAAGAATCATCTACGCATACATCTTGGGCTGATGACTGATTTATATCATTAGCCTATGGCGATGCTGCGGCCGCATGCCTGGAACACTACCATATTCTGGACAACAACCCCGAATTCAAGCTCGGCTTGCTAATTGCCTACTATCCGACTTCGATTCCCGACCCTGGAGGCAGATTTCCGAACAGTATCGTTGCACTTGCACATCTGCCAGCAGGGGAGGAGATCGGAGTCGTCAAACAGAGCCAAATGGTCGGCATCCAAGGCAAGCGACGTACGACAACGAAGAAGGTCCAGAAAGGCCTCGGGACGGGTGGAAAACTCCAACTTGCATTCCCAAGCTATACGTACGATGCAGAGTCTGGCTTTGCCGAGCACGATATGGAGGAGTATAACAGAATAAGCGCTGAGCTCGCCTGGAGCCGGAGCTTGACTACAGCAAGACGGGCGTTTGGTGCTGGTCCTGACTTAGAGGGCATCCTGGAGCAGCATGTACAGAGTAAGTCCTCGGTCCATGTCTCTGATTTTCTGGTGCTCAAATCGCTGACATATGGATGAAGGCAAATATTTCGCAGGTAACGCGCAACAAACCGTGTCCGCCTTCACAGTCCAGAAAATGCCCCATGCGACCAATATCCCTACCCTCACAGGCGGGATAGGGACCGATGAGCTCAACAGGTTCTACTCTGACTTTTTCGTCAAGCCGTCATCTTTGAAAATCACCCTCCTGTCCCGCACAATCGGCGTTGACCGCGTGGTTGATGAGATGCATGTCCAATTCAAACACACAGAGGAGATCCCCTGGATCCTCCCTGGTGTTCCAGCAACAGACAAAAAGGTCGAGATTCTCATGGTGAGCATCGTCGGCTTCAAATCCGGCAAGCTTCATCATGAGCACGTTTACTGGGACCAAGCAAGCGTGTTGGTGCAAGTTGGATTGATAGATCCAAAATTACTCCCGGACTCAGCCAAGGAACTTAAAGTGAAGAAATTACCCGTTGTCGGGCGCAGGGCGGCCAGGAGGGTAATCAAGGGACAAGATGACACCGATGAAGGAGAGGCGGATAATAAGCTGATTTCAGGGTGGGCTGTTAGCAATGGGAAAAAGGAACAGGAGTAACTAACGGTCTTTCATTTTTCAATCTGTATCAATTCATGGTCATAGTAATATGTACTTTATTCATCTTTCAATCGGCTTCTCAGTCCGTCAAGAACCGAAGACAATTGAGTCTTGAGTTGGGGGCTATGAGTTGACTCAATGCGCAATTCCAGTTGCCGAATCTGAGCCAAGAGCTCATTGCTCTCCTCATCTTGTCCATCTCTTTCTTCACCGCCATCCTCATCGCTTTCACCCTCCTCTACTTCGTCGTCATGATCATTGATGCGAATTATCCCATCTCCAAACGCTACGGCAAACGCGTCTGCCAGACCTGGTTCTTTGATGGCAAATACAATTTCTTCGATCCCCTCCCACGTCTCTTCAATTTTCTTAGGCTTCCGTTTTTGCGGATGAGATGCCGCAGTACCAGACATCAACACTTTCCTCCAAGCTTTGGCAATCTCTCCAACCGGATTCCCATATGCACCACAACCCCAAGCCCCCAACACCAATCTTTTGACACCCTTGTCGCAACAGATGCGCATAACCATCCTCATCTTGCGAACAACCTGTTCGCGATCCTTGTCATTGGTGTAGGATCCACGGCCCATACCATCAAGATCTGTTTCGGGCCCTCTAAGCATGGCCGCGCTTATGCAATCGACAAACCAACGTTCCTTCGGGCTCAAGACATCATCCGAGTCGGCCTCCCGGAACACGAGGACTTCTGGGGTGTAGATGGCGCCGATCTCAGGCAGGCGGTAGTATTCGTCCTTGAGAGAGGGGAGCAGCGTAGTCCTCATGCAGAGAGATTCCTCTTGGCTCGTCGCTCCATTTAAGAAGCCGCCTCCTGGCGATAGAGGCGATGCCATGTTGAGAACCGCCACCCTTGAGGATTTGTTGCTTAGATCTGGGACGTCCGTCTCTTGTGCCGTATCCTGGGTCAGCAACCGCCGGGCGACTGTCAACGTATCTGCAACCTCGAGGGATACCGTGATCTGGCCTGGTGCGCAATCCGGCTGCTCAGCTGCCCCCGCGCCCTGGCCTCGAGAGGTTCGAGGTTGCGGATTTGCAGAGCGCGGAGGATCGACGATGAGTTCTGCTGCATTGATTCCACTGCGGGCACGAGGATGGGTGACCAACAAGGATGGGATGAGCTGGTTGATGGTCGCTTTGGCCTTCTTCGCTCGTGCATCTTTGCGGAATGCAGCGGGTGGCCTGCCGACCGACGGCTCTGTTCGGCCCATTCTGTCCTTAAAAACTGGGATATCGTAGGAGTAGTAGGCCAAAGAAATGAAATGGACAGTGAAATTGGTTCCCGACGAGGAGAAAAGTGATTACATGAAGAGAGTCTTAGCCGGGAACCTTGATGACCAGCTTTTGATTCAGTTGAACTAATTTGATCCAAAGTACCCGCAATTGAGCAGGTCACGATTAAACGCTACAACAATCAGTCCTCTCAAAATCACAACCAGGCGATCCTGATTTGAGATCTCCTAAGGGGTTTTGAACAAATTTCTCCGACATATAATAAATATTGCCAAAGGATTGGTATCATTATAATAAAATGAAACGATTGTGCTCTTTCATGAGAAAGGGAGACAGCGTGCCACGTGATCACCATATTCGCTTACCCTAGACTTGTCGGAATCGAACTTATGCAAGTCGTCATAGTAGCGTTGGTAGATCGTAGGTGTACCTGCCACCTACAATGAGGGTTTATATTTGGATATGAATATACAATGCATCTTTGGCAAAGAGAAAATAAATTATGGCAATCGGGGTGGATAGCAAGTCTCGGTATTTCAAAACAACCCCATCGTTACACGTAATTATTTCGTTCTCGCACCCTTCATCAATCTCACTTTCCTAGGACAAAATATAAAATGACCCAAAGATTGAATTACAAGCTGAATTCTAATCTGTTACCGGCAAAGTCCCGTGCAAAGAAGCGATCGGGATACTCGACACCTTTCGCACCTTGACAAGGAGTTAGTTCGACCTTCCTACATAAGATAAATCGTGAGCAGAGACATACCAGAATTGGCCTCCCCAGGCTTGTCAATTGCCAGCGGAGCAGCCGCACCGCCCGCTTCAAAATGCTTCCATATTTTGTGCTGCAATTCGATGAGAGACTCCTTATTTTCCAGCTTGAAGCAAGGATGACGTTTGTGGTCAAGTTCGAGATTAGCCCCGAGAGCAACATGGACCTGCTGGCCTGAAGAACCGATATTGAACCTGTTATGCGTGACTTCTTAGTTTTATGTCGAGAAAAGATTCATCGACAAATGTGGACGGCAACGTACCAGGCCAGGGAGTTCTTTTGAAGAGCTGGCACGGGGCTTGGTGTCAGCCCTACCGTGTTAACGTAAAACTCATATGCTGAGTCTAATGTGCCCTCTGGCACGGTAATATTGACGTGAGCAAGACCCGCGAACATTTTGTGCACTTTAATAGCTTTAAGAGTGTTACTTTGTGTGAGAGATGGTAATGCGTATCTGTTGGTCGTGGACTCGTGCTGATATCTCGCTGCTTGGTAATCTGAGGCTGTTTATTGAAAGCTAGTATCCGAACTCGGAGTCTCAGACGCGGGGTCGTCTCTACTCATTCCCCGCGGGATATATGGCGGAAATTGCATCATGGCTCCATTCACGGCGCTATTTCTAGCTTAGTATATCTATGAAGCTGATTAGCATCGGTAGAGGTCTCGACAATTCACCTATAAAAATCCCTATTTCACAATCAAGATTAAATTAAATGTAATCTCGCATTTTGCCATTAGTTACGTGCCGATGATAACAAAGGTTATAGACCTACTGGCTCGACATGCCGGGAATAGAATGCGGTAATAGCCAATATTTCGTTCTATACGAGGTGATCAAAAATTCTAGTGCTGGTACATAAAAATCATCTCGCGTACAGTTCCATGAACTAGGTGATATCTAGAGTGATTTCTGCCAGAGATGGATAGCGTAGGCGTCTTTGACGACGCTGCCTACATGTAGGATCGCTTTAAGGGCCGGCGCGAGAATACACTTGCGGTCGAGAACATACTGCCATTAAAATACGGGGAATGCATGGACAATCACATTCAGTTGTGGTAGATCCAGAGGACAAAGGAGGCCGTCGAGTTCATAGTTTCGAGCGTGGTCAAAAGTTTTCATGAAACAGAATCAGGATAGGTAGCCCTGAAAGAGGAAGGCCAAGAAGGTATGGGTTGGGTTCGTGTCTGATGACCCAGTTGGCGTAGTGGTGAGCGTGATGTGAAGTGTAAAGAAAAGCAACAAGTAACGAGTTATTGATTCCAAACAAACTTCTTCATGATAGTAGCCCCAAAGCTTCTAGTACATGCCTAGAAATAATTTTGAGTAGAGTCAATGAACGATGGGAATTGAAAGCAAGCTTGAGGTCTGACTCTCCTCCCTTACCTTTGACCTGTACGACAACATGTGTTAGTCCATCAACTGTGTTTAAGTAGAACAACTGCTTGTTGTCTTCTTTGTTTACACAGTCTTGATTGTTTCAATGTATGATGATCAAAGTCCGAATGATCGATTGAGTTCCATTGAAATTGAACAATTGAATAGTCTAGGAGAACAAAGCATAAGCGTTCGAACCATAGTGACTTTTTAATTCTATATAATGGCTCGAAGCCCCCGACCTGATCTACCAAATTCTTAGCCATACTACTCATTCACTAATATAATAATGTGTATAAATTCACGTTCCTCGGATAGGGATGGCGGAGTTCAGGTTCTCCATCAAAACCCGTCGTCACTTCGGCAGAAATCTTCTTAGTCTACGAACGACCAAGTCGACTAACAAGAAAGTCTACCACGACTCAACCTTCCCGCTTTGTCATCGGCAGCATCGAAAAGGGTATGAATCTCCGCTCGTGGATCTATCAGTTTCCACGATGGAGCAGTCAATAAAAATAAAAAAGCTGGGAGGCGGCCCAACCTCCCTGAAGGAGGAGTCCTGCTGGCAAGTATCGAAGACTCGGCAGTAAGTATCCCTAAAACCTTGCGGCACCACGAGATTTTAAATATGGCAATATGAAAGATTCTCTGCGATTTCTAGGTCGTGGGAAGCGAGGTTGAATCCATCAACTTTCAAAACAGGCAGTTCTGACACCCTTGGCTAGGCATCTATTCCTCCTAATTCTGCTGGGCCAGCTCGGCTGAGTCCAGGTCGGACAGAATCGATAAATTCTATCGAGGCACTGATAGACGCCATCAGCTCTGATTTAGATGATCTGTCTTCAAACATAAAACTACTACAGAAATGGCTCCGGGGAATAAACCTCGAGCAGTATCAGAAGCGTGAGCAATGGTCAGATAGCATGCAGAGAGGTTATGGTCGTTGTAAGGAATTCGATAGTAAGTCTGCCACATCCACAGGTCATTTCCGTGATTACCACACTCGAACCCGCCGAACGTCAGAAGTGGAAGAGTTGGTTGAATCTGCGAGGTTGGCCATTGAAGATAGTGCAGCTGCTGTTAAGTTCGAACCTCTTTTACTACATGAGCAGCTGATGCGAGACTTGCATTCATGGAAATATATCCAAATGCTTATAATTTCGATGGCATCTCAGGGCACATTGAAGCTGTAGAGAGCAGAATAAACACGGGCAGAAGCGCCGTTGAGAATGCAATCTACAACGACAACTGCCTTAATAATCAAAACAGCAACGAAAGAAAATTATTTTATAAGAAGAATTAGGTGAATTGTCTTTGAATTCATTTGATGATTCTATCTAAACTATCAAAATACCGGCCAAGGGATGGGAACGCTACCGAGAATTATGGGGTAGTGAAGCATCGAGATTTCTAGTATAAAGATTAGAAAATTAATACACTATTAGCCCTCATGAGAAGATATCACGGTGGTATGTGCAACAGTATCCAAGTTACTAGGGTAATTAAGTTTTTGTGTAATCGAGATCATGACATGCATAGGCTGATAACCCCTTCATATTCCCTGGAGGCTATCCTGGTGAGAATAGACCATGGGATGTAGGCGAGATGAAATGTGGCCTAACTTTGGCCGAGGGTGCCCAGAACAGAAGCTAGTGGCGAGCTGAGACATAACCTCAATCTTCTTACCCTCCTATTGTAGTATTTATAGCATAATGTGTTCTTAGCCTGTAATCCGATAAGCTTGTCAGGTATCAGAAAAGGGCCGGGCTCAAAAGCGGCCATTGAGACATTACTCCAAGCAACTATATTGTTCTTCTTATAATAACTAATGATAATACGTAGAGTGCGCACACCAAAGCTATAGCTAACTCAATACTGATCAAGTGCGCTATATCAAAGCCATCTTGCCAAATGACAGGAGTATGATAGAAGGATGCGATACAGAATCCTCATTTCTTCTGTTGATCCAATCATCATATAACCTCTCCAACTAGTCGCTTCACACCAAGCGAACTCTTGCCCCGGGGCTGGACCTAGTGAAATGGCTAAACCGACCAACTTCAACAGTCTGTTGATTTTCCACTGGGCCTGTCGAGTTGCCTGAATACCATTTCAGACAATCTCAACTTTTATCTCATCCTTTCCTGTCCCACCAATGGGAACAGGAACAATATTCTGGACAAGTCCAACCCTAGACTCCTCGTCACCAAGCAGTCTGGCATCTTCATCGGCATCGCTGTCGACACTGGGCCGCTCAACGGCCTGGTGGTCAACTCCGTGAAGGCTGCTGTATACTCCTCGGGAAACTTGAGCGTGACTGAATCCCGGAGCCGCGTCGGGAGTTCGAGAGTAGAGGTCACACTCGCAGTGAGGGCAGTGTCGAGGTCGATCAATAAAGTCAATGAGGGTGAGCAGCGCAAGGTAGGCATGAATACAGCTGTGCAAGACATGAATGTTAGTTGAATTCCCGATGTCGGTGTCGAATAGAAGGGGATTACCTACAAGACAAGAATGTATGGCACACTGGCATAGGCAGTCAGCACCGCCCGCCTGGCGTCCCTCCACATTCCCCCAAGATAGATCCAGGTAAAGATCAGGAAGACCAGAAGCCCAGCAGCTGACAGTGTATCATAAATGAAAATTAAAATGGAAACCTTCAAGCCCCCGTGTCCCTTTGTTGGGTTTCGACGCTTGAAGCAGAGCAGGAAAGTTGAGACAATAGCCGAGATAAAGATGCCCGAAAACCCGGCGATACGGACAGGTCCGGACAAGCTTGCATCAATAGTAGAGAGAATCAAAGCGGGGAAGAACGCAGCTATGGTGAGCCGACGGAGAGGGTGCGTGAGGACGTGAGCTTGAGAGGTCATCGTGAATGTGTACGGTATGAAGCAATTTCCAGATACGTGCACTTTGGAGTCTTGAGAATCCTCGATGGAAGGGGAGATGGTTCGATTATTTATTGCTCACAGGGAGTTGTACCCCGAGCAACGATCGCCAAGACTCCGGCCTCCCAAAAACCGAGACGCTCAGACGTCGCGAAAATAGCACAGAGCAACAACAATACACAGCCACGGCCGGATTGGGAAATGTACGCTTACACAGCCTGCTCCTTCGCGCATCAGTGGAGAGCCAGCTCACGCCAAGCGGCTGACAGACTCTCCGCACTGGCTCGTTCCATCTGCATAAGTACTAAATGGTCATGCCTGTTGCCTGACTGGTTTCATATATATGAAAACAAAAGGTAGCGGGTCGTGGACACGCGTCCTGCTGCCAATCACTTCCCCAGGCACTCACCAAAGTTTCAGCAAACGCTGACAACCTGAATTTCTCGGGTATGCTTCCCGGCCGAGTGAATTGATCAACCCTACTCTCAATACCCGAAAGAATACCCGATTCTCCAATGCTCGCTTATGAGTCTAAGGCACCTATTTCCCACGCTTGATCTTTCATGATTAACATTAGATCCGCTCGCTATTAAGTGACGTGAGGGCCCTCCACCTCATGCAAGATGATTTAGTAGCATCGACAAGACTGACCTTTGTCCGATATGTGTAGCATGGCTCCTATAAATGAGAGTATTAGGGGAAATGTTCTACGTTCAAGCCACTCGTGACAGCTAATTAATGGCTTGTTAACCTTTTTGTGCCTTGAGTCTAAGTGGACATCCAACACGATTCTAAATAACAAAGTAGTTCTTTAGTGTGTCAAGGGTGCTAAGCATGCAAAAAGAAATGGCATTAACAAGCGACGAGCCAGGTGATAATTGGAGGCCAATTAATACCAAAATAGAGCACCTACGTCATCTTCGATAGTCAGTTTCAAGGCTCAGGCACTTGTTTCTCAAAACTTAATTTACAGTAAGTAAACTCAAGCGCTTAATCCAGCACTGCAGCTGTTGCCGCCTTATTAGCGCCATTCCGAGGAACGCAAAATGTTCAGAATTTGCCGCGGGATTCTTCCTTTGCCTAGATATAGCATCCTATTGCCCCAAACTATTCACTGCTCAGCCTTTTCTCACTTCTCCTCATCTCGGGAGCCAAGTGTCGCGTTATTTTTCGCTTGTCTTACCTCCATAGGCGTAGGAACAAATCAACTATCTTGCTTTTAGGTTTGGAGCATTCTAATAACACACCGGCCGGGTCGATCTGATAGATTCATTAGCTCAGTGAATGCAGATCTCATCTCTTTTGCCTGTCTTGTTTCTAGGTATATTCGGCCGCAATGATTGCTTTATTGCTGAAAAACAAATCTGCTCCTCAGGCGATGATGATCTCACTAAAACTTTCAGTCAACCCAGTAGGCACTTGATGTGTATCCGTTTGGGCTGGAGAGATCATCTCATCACACGACATTTGGCGCAGAGCCTGTCAAGTAGGATCAAGTCCAAACAATAACGAGCCATTGATGAAATATCAATGGATCAGTTCATCATTGGGTGTAAACCATAAGTCAATAGGTGTTTTATTAATTCACTTCAGCACATTAGTTGCGAAACTAATATTAAGCACGTCACCGGGTTATCATTATGGCATGCGAAACACACTGACACTGCCCCTGTTCTAAATGACATACTAGTTGTGGGAAAACTCAAGCCGATATAAGGAATCATGTAATTCAGCATCTTTCTCGGTTGAACATTACCCCCCAGCATTAGTGGAACGGGTCGGTGTCGGTTAATCATCAAGCGAGAGAACTGAAGCCAGGCTGTATAGGCTGAACAGTGATGTAGTGGTAAGAGAGCACGCAAGGTGCCACAAAAGTCACAGCACATGCGCATGCGGCTACACCTTCCTCGACAGGCTCTTGGCATAGGTAAAATCAAAATCAGGAGATCGGACGGCTTCTCCCCGCGGATACTTCGTCCCGCATATCCCGATTGGGAATCTCATGAGGCCAGTATAAATCAGAACCTACGGTGGGGGGAATATTTGTGCCCCTTTCTATCTCAGCGAAAACAAGAAGTCACACATTATGAACCTCTTGAATTGGCTTCTAGTTGCTCTCCCACTGAGCCGCGGTTCGCCTCTGGCAGCCAACGATATCAGTGCCAACCAATTCTCAAATCCTATCATATACTCTGATTTTCCAGACAACGACGTGTTTCTGGGACCCGATGGAGCGTACTATTTTTCGGCCTCGAACTTCCACTACAGCCCGGGTGCACCAATCTTGAAGTCCGATGATTTGATAAATTGGGACGTGATCGGTCATTCTATTCCTCGCCTCACATTTGGCGACAACTATGACCTGCCTGCCAATGGATCCGGCAAAGGGAACGAGTATCGCGGCGGTACCTGGGCATCTTCGTTGCGTTACAGGGAGAGCAATGGACTCTGGTACTGGATTGGCTGTACCAACTTTTGGGTAACATGGGTTTTCACTGCAACCAGTCCCGAAGGTCCCTGGACGAATCGCGGCGCTATGTCTTGGGAGGGAGTTTGCATGTACGATAATGGCATCTTGATCGACGATGACGATACCATGTACGTCGTGTTTGGTTCGAACAATGTCCGGGTCGCTCAGCTGAACCCAGAGGGAACGACGTATACTCAGATCCAGAGTGTGTTCAACCACACTGACGTCGGCGCTGAAGGTCTTGAGGGGAATCGCATGTATAAGATCAACGGAACATACTATATCCTTGATGACGAGCCTGGAGGCACAACCTATATCTGGAAGTCGGAAAGCCCCTGGGGCCCATACGAATCCAAGATTTTGGTCCAAAATATATCTCCCCCGATCAACGGAGGAAGTTCCCCGCATCAGGGTAGTCTCATCAAGACAAAGGATGGTAACTGGTACTACATGTCCTTCACTTGGGCCTATCCTGCTGGTCGCCTCCCGGTTCTTGCCCCTATCACATGGGGAGACGACGGCTTCCCTATCTTTACCAAAGGCAGCAACGGTGGCTGGGGAGCTTCTTATCCTCTGCCTGACGGAAGCAGTGGTCCTACCAAGAATTGGGATCGTGTCGATACATTTGCCGGATCCTCTCTTCACCCTTCATGGGAATGGAACCACAACCCTGATGTAAACTCCTATATTGTCAACAATGGTCTGACTTTGAAGACTGCTTCTGTTACGGATGACATTTACTTTGCAAGAAACACTCTTACTCATCGTACGCACGGCGAGTTCCCGGTGGGGACTGTCCTCATCGACTACAGCAATATGTTGTCCGGCGACCGCGCAGGCTTCGCCGCCTTCCGCGATCAGACTTCGTACATTGGCATCCACCGTACCGGGAACGATTACTCCCTTGTAGCCGTCCACGGGATCATCACTGATGAATGGGGATCCGGCGTAACTCAAAGTCTCGGCGAGGTAAAGCAAACGCTGCCTATTCCCGCAGGTCAGACAAGAGTGTGGCTCCGGATGGAGCTTGATACACGCCCAGATGGGACAAGAGATTGCGTCTTCCTGTACAGCTTCGATGGGGAAGACTTTGAGGTGCTTGGTCCGACTTACACTTTGTACTCGGGCTGGGCGTGGTTCCTGGCGTACCGATTTGGCATCTTCAATTTTGCCACGGAGGCTCTAGGAGGATCGATAAAGGTAGAGTCTTTTACCGCAGCTTCAGCTTCAGCTTGAGACTGCATACAGATGAGGTTCTTAGGGGTTCCTTCGAATGATGCACCTCTGGCGGCTGGTCGCCATGTTAGTCAATTGTAGCAAAATTGAGAGATTAACATGAAAACATCGTTTGATTTCTCCGATGCGCATTTTGTCCTCCACCACGTTTGCTGTCTTTGCATCCTTATTACGCATGTCAAGGCGATGAGAGGGCATTGGTCTTCACACAGTGATGCAGCATAGATTATTGAAATAGTGTGTTTGAATTTTTTTGTATCGCGACATTCCTAGCAACCCTGATTCCTAAGATGGTCCCTTTTTCCAATTGTTTAGAAGACTCCCCCAGCTACTTCACCAAGCGAAAAGCGCTTAGTAAAGACCAACAACGACATCACCCTTGACGCGGGCAGTCAGGTGGACCTCAGCCTCGAGGTCGAGCTTGATGCCGAGCAGGAGAGCGGCATCGCGGAGGGAGCCGTCATCCTGGGTGGCACCCTTGATGATTTGGCCTGTTCATCGGTCTGGTTAGTATCGAATTGGATAGAAGAAATATTAAAGAGCATTTGACTTACCAGCAGGCTCAGAAAGGCCAGTGGCGGTGGGAAGAGGGACAGTGAACTGCTGGGTGGAAGACATGTTGTTGGTTTGGGGGTTTGCTGGTGAGAGCTGGTTGTGATTGAAGTAGATTGAGTTGTGAGTGAGTGATGGCTAAAACAGATTGGCTTTCTGAGGGATCTTGGACAGTCTTTATACCTTTGTTCGAGATGTTTTGAATAGTATTGAACTCAGTCAACTGTTCATCTTACTATGTTGATCCCCACAAGTGTCAATGCCATCTCCCTTGAGTACAGCTCACCATGCAGGATGCCCTTGAGAGCATAAACCGAAGACCCATCGCCCGCATTAACATCGTAACCCACCCGGAGGAGATGATGCGACCGTACCTGCAGCCAATTCGCTTAACGCCGAGGCAATTCGCCAATCGACTGGCCAATTCACGCCGTCAATCTCAAGGCATTCTCCATCGGCATCGAAATCGTACCACTTGGCGCAATGCGTGGCGGACGTGGCCAAGCAGAGCCAGCACAACACATCAAAGCACCATAGTTACTACATTATGCCGGCGGGTAAAGGCGAGGTGCATCAAATTGTTACTCGGGCAGACCAACGGAAGAGGGAGCGGATGGTGGGATGTTCGGGTGAAGTTGGGCCGATCTCCCATCCATCTCCCGGTCTTTCTTATGCAAGACACCGGCAAGTCAATTTCTTGGCATATTGATCCGCTGGCTTGCTACGTCTTTGATTGTCTGGGTTGGAAGAATTCAGCGGACAACGAATTCATGGAGCAACGAAAAATGACTCGTGAAGCCGCCGTCACCAGCCGAGGTCCCTATTCGCATCTCATTGGCAGCCGGAAAGATTCGTAAGACAAGACGAAGGAACCTCGTTCATATTATCGCTCATTGCTATTCCAATTTCTAACTTAATTTTTTTGTCATTCTAACGGCATCAACTGAGATATATTGTGGGCGCGTTGAAGGGACTAGACGAAGTAATTAAGAAACAAAGCTACATCTTCTAGCTTCGTGGCTTCTGAACAGCGAGGTAGTTAATAGTTAATCCTAGTCCATTATTACTTTGGATCAGGAATTGAGTAGCCTTCCTACCATGATCTCCAACAAAGACAAGTTGTTTGGTCTTGATCGTGACCTTGGTCACCTTGATCTTGACACAGGTGACTGACCAAGCACATTTCTCCCTTGAACTCCTCCAAGTTCACCTAGTTTGTTTGCTTCGCGTACAACTCACGCAAGCCATCGACCAATTCTGTCTTTCCCCTAAATGTGTTCTCTCCGTCCTCAAAATCGCCCGCCATTGTTCCTCCAGGGAGCGTAGCAAGAATCATACCCGCAAATTCCTCGGCATAAGTTGGAGGCACATGGGTAGCAAAGTATGTGGCCAATTGATCCTTCTCGATCGTGATGAGCTCACCCTTGTTGCCGGTGACTTGCTCGAGCGCTTCTTTCACATCCAGACTGCTGTAGTGCCTTGGACCAAACAAGGTGACGCTGGAAATACCTGGCCGGCTGGTAGTGTCGAGGAGAGCCTGGGCGAGGTAATCACCGACGTCTTTCACACTCAACTGTACAATTGTCAGCAAGTCGGTCTCGATGTCAGAATCAATCATCCTATCTAGATGGCGAGCATGCCATAGGGATTTCATGCGTCGGTGGTGAAAACGTGGACTCAAAGCTCGGATTGTCTGACCGCATGGTTTTCAGAGCATCAGCCCAATTTTCGAAAAACCACCCAGGTTTGACAATCTGCACCTCTGGCAGTACCGATTCAAGAATTCTATCAGTAATGTGGTTCAATCTGAGGACTCCCTAGATCCTAGTCAGCTCCTGATGTTCACGCACACCCATTCGATACGTACAATTCCATGGTCGTGCTGCGCCCCCATGGCGGAATGAAGGATCAGCTTTTTGAGACTTGGGGCTCGTTGAATCTCTTCTTTGACATTCTGGGCCGTTTGGGTAGCGAATTGGCCTTGGTCAGCACCGTCATAAGTCACCGGGGGTATGTACAGGATCGCTTGGGAGCCACCAAAGTCTAGCCCCTCGCCTGTCGCAACATCTCCCTGCGTTGCCTCAAAGTTTGGGTGCTCCTTGAACTCGACCGGTGCTTTGGCTGGATTACGGTAGATAGCTCTGACCGTCGGCTTGCTGTCTGACTCCAGGAGGGCACGAATGGTCTCCTTGCCGGATTGTGTTGAGGCGGGGAAGACGGTGATATGGAGAGACATGATGTCGTGAGGATGGCAATGTTCAAGTAGCAAGACAATTGAATGATTGGTGAGTCTGCCTTGAATGAATTCAAGGTCAACTGAGGAGAAAGTCCGGCCCCTTTATGCATTTCAGAAGGAGAGCCATTACTCAGGTAGAAACGCAATTCTATGTGAATCAAAGTAATATTTTTCTTGCTTAGAAATAGAATCGGCAAACGACCAATCAATAACTAATGATGGCAAGATGTAAACATCCAGGAAGCAACAAGAACGACTTTGGGGTTCGGAAGATGGATCAATGCTCCACTCGTATGCGAGTTGCTGATCATCCTTGTCGAAGCTTAACCTAATTTACTCCGGATGAACACCATCGTCAAGGGCCAGCATATATGAGCAATCTGTGGAGATATTTGTAGCATCCTTAGGTACTGTTGGCACTACCCAAGTGGAATCTTAATTTACGAAACTCATGATAGGGATAGAGGCAGATCCACAGCTTGATACATATCTGAGGGCTTCAAGTGTAGCTTGATTACGGAAATTCTAAAGGCCTTTCACCTCTCTGCCTTCGCCAATGATTCGTGGCCTCCAAGATTTCATGACACCCTAGCAACAGCCATCCCCATCTCTTGAAGAATGGCAGCGTTACCTCCCAATTCTTTGGGTCCCAAGGCTCACCCCATACTATCATGCCACCCCAGTCTGTCTGGCCGCATACTTCAATCATATCGTCCCAGAGCTTCTGTTCTCCCTCTATGAAAAGGCTATTCGATATAGCCAGCAGAAAGTTATCACGCATCTGAGGAAGAGGGAACAGGTCGACCCATGGATGATGCGGGATACGCTTTTGAAGCGCAGTCGGAAGGAGGTTTGAGGGGCACAACGTCTGAAAAACCCCACCACCTGATTCCTTCTCCGGTCCATAAACAGTAAAGGGGGAAACTGAGCTACATAGAAGCCAGTCGACGGTGAAGCCGAGCATAGCTGAATTCATGGTGAGGCTCTCCACGACATTGTGCTGGATCAGTCGGAGCAAGTGGTCTGCACTTGGCTGACATGTTGCGTAGCTTGCAAGGGCGCTATGGGCAAATTGGTGTAAGAACCCACGTTTTCGATCCACATTGTCTGTTGTTGCCTCCCCCATCATCGTGTCGTCTTCGGAGCAAGCGATGATGCTCGTGCATGGTGCTTGGCGTGAGGTGGTCACATCTTCCCCGGCACCTCCTCGCTGAGCTTTCCTCCGGCGACCTAATTGCATTACAAATTAGTCTCACGTATACAAATAATATTCTTTCCTTGCTTCAGGCTTACGAGCTCTCTGGTTGAGTCTATTTTGCAGCTTTCTTCTCTCCCTTTGATTTGTGACACCTGCCCAGTCTTCTCCGTAATCACACAGATAAGCCTCGTGGGGCAAAGAGACATGAACTAAGTCAATGTGCGTATGATGGGCATCATGGCTAGACTCCATGATGAGAGAACGATGGGAATACACTCATGAGGTGCCCGAGCCAACTGACGACCCCTACAAGTCCAAGTTCGTCCCCTCCATATGCATCTGGCTGACAAGGCCTTCGTCTTCATCTACCAAGACCAGGATATGAGACTTGATTAATAATAAAGAGATGGCCCGTGCTGCACTAATGCAACCTGCTGACAAGTGACGTCAAAGCTCATTATCCAGAATTCCTCTGAAGCTATTCCAGAATGCCTACCCTAGACTCTCTCCATCAAAGGCAATCCCATGTCTGGCCAATACTCAGGCTATCAAGATGTAGTGTTGATGATTAGAAGGTTCGAGAATTTCCCTATGGTTTGTGCTAAGGGTACCTCTCTCGAATCATCCTCCAATTTTCATAATAAGCATGCACAAGTTTTGACAATGTCGGCGTATTTATTAGATTTATCTGTAGGGTGAAATGGACTCCAGAAACGTGAAAGAACAAAACTACTACATGATGACGAGAAGTGTAAGATACACAAGGAGTCCAAATTCTTCTGTAATTGTATATCACACACACAGAAACGCCTTAGCAACAGACATGCAAGAGCATAACGCTCTGCCCTCACGGTTGTGGCAGGCCCACGCGCCACACACTACATGTATCTTGGAAGAGACAAACACGTGACTGAGACAAAGCTGTTATCCAACAATTAATAAGAGAATCCATGAAGCAAATATGGTCCTTAATCGTTCATAGAGTCATCGATGGTTCGCTTGGTGGGTTGCATGAGGCAGAGCTGAGCTGATCGAGCGAGCAAAAAGATGCCTGACCCCTCCTCGCCTGCATGAGACGGCTGCTCAATATTGGAAATATATTGGCTGCGTTGTCAGCTCAAACGTCACAACCCCGCTCTCAACCGATTAATTGATTCTTGCTGCGTCAATTGAGTCTCGATGTAAAAACATCCAAAGCATCATAGCAAATTTTGGCCTAACAACTGTTTTATCGGCGAAACACTCATTCATGGAGGACGAGATTGAGCCAGATTCTCATACCGGGTATTATTCTTCCAGCTTCTATGCCGATCTCGACGTGCGTGATTGGATATTCCCCCACAGAGTCAAGGACATCTCTCACGAAGAGATATGGAACTCGCACAAATCGCTCAGCTCGAGGGATTGCTACCAGTACGAGTCGCTGGAAGCCCGTTCAGACGCGTTCCGGCTACTATACATCGACATCGGCGATGACTTGGAACCTATTACCTGCAGTTTGCAAGTAGCCCGCCCTGGAACCTCTTATTCCGCCATCTCCTACATGTGGGGTACAGACACACGCTCTTTACCGATCCAGATTGACGAGCAAACATTCCTGGTGTCGGAAAAGCTGTGGTGGGGATTATGGCATCTGCGGCGGCCAAGAGGGGTTGGGGGCGAGCGATGGCAGGGGCCTCAGGGTCCTTTTTGGATAGATGCTATATGTATCAACCAAGCAGACTTGATAGAAAGAAACCAGCAGGTAGCTATAATGGGCGATATTTACGGCGGGGCCGATCATGTTTACATCTGGTTTGGACGCGACACTGCTGGCGGCGGGCTCTATAATATGCTATCGGATCTACAGATACTTGTGCATGATCATGAAACGAACAGCGCGCTATCTGGACTTGCGCTCTTTTTCGAGAATGAATATTGGAGGAGGGTGTGGATTGTGCAAGAGCTGATCCTTGCTCGCGACGTCTTGGTGATATATGGGTTTTATGTTATACCCTGGAAGATTCTGGAGGACGCGTTTCGACTATTGGAGGCCAAGACGGAGTTCTCTAGATCAAGCCATCCTTTGTTGACTAGTCCCGCCGCTAAAATTATCAAGCTGCGGATGAGGCGAGACGCGGGTGCTGATTTGCTGTCGTATTGGGCCATGTTCGAGGACAGTCGGTGCTCCGATCCACGGGACAAGGCCTTTGGGTTTCTAGGTTTGAATGGCAAGCTAGCGAGCCACCGAAATACCCTCCAGGAACTCAAGGCCGACTATATGGTATCCTTAGTCGAACTCTTCCAGCAGATGCTCGGACTGAGGAGATACGGCGGCTCCGAGGAATGGGTATCTGCCTCTCACACCGAGAGACAGCTCGAGACGTATGATCCACGCCATCGGGATGCTTCTTGGAAACAGAAAATGAGTCAGTGCCGGGATATTAAAGACAGAGAAACCCACGACTATCATCAATTAGCAATCGCCTTCAGCCAGTTCTTTTGTCGTCTCCTCTTTGGAGATATCCCGTCCGCTCCCAAACCAGAATTCCTCACTCAACAACCATTCTCATCGGAACGAGAACTGTTCCAATGTGAAGGTTATATCGTTGGCATATTAAAAAGTGACCTGGGACCGTCCGGCATCTCCGAAATCAGTGAAAGCGACCGGAGACGGCTCGGGCCATGGCATCGCCAACACCCAGATATAAGCAAAGAAGAGAGTAGTACGTGTAGCTCACGAGACTTCATATTCAGTCAGCAATGGGAAGATCAGAAACCGCCCTTTGATTGGGATTTCAATGCCACACATATACACCACTCGTCATGCGGACAGCCGGTGATGGCTTGTTCTACCACCACAGGTTGCGATCACAAGCCCGAGCCCCGAGTGTTTGAAACAGACACCAGGCTGAGGCTACATACAGTGGGTGATGCTCGCCCGGGTGACTCCCTATGTCGCTTTGCAAAGTGCGACGTGGCCGCTATCTTCCGCCATATGAGAGATTTGGAAGACCACAAGCTCTACAGAGGAGCTCCCATGAACCGAACCCGAAAAGAATACCATCTCGTCGGTCGTGCTATGGTAAGCATGGGTGAAGGGGAGGTACCGACGAGGTTGCACGAACATACGGCACGAACCTTTCGACACAGCGTGCTTGACCTTGGACGTGACAAAAACAATACGGCCATTATGGAGCAGTACTTTGATGCCAAAACCTTGCGTTACCTTACAGGTTGAACAACAATTCGTATTTATTGTGTTGAAATGTCAGGTCTGACATCTTCATTTCTGTTTTCTCAACTTTGTACTCGTACTCAAACTCCCATTCATTATGTCCAGATGTCGGGTCTGGCATCTTCTATTGTTTCTTTTTACCTTTGCACTCGAACTCACTCATCCGTAGGATCTGACATCATCTATTGCTGTACTTTTACTGTGTGAGTCAAGCTATCAAACGCTCTTAACCGTTGAGCAACAACGAATACTGGAACGACGAGTAGGATTTGATGTGTCTGATGATTAGGATGGAAGCGATCTTCCAAGATATCAGGGGAAATTAGGATGTAGGCTACTGATATTAATGATGCTCAATTATACAAAATACTCATACATTCTGTGCCTCTCATGCGCCCATTTCAAATTGAATCCCAGACAATATTCATCGTCACCGGGACAGGCCAGAACGAGCTACGGTCACTCGTCATGTACATTGACTGGCCTTCCTCTGTGCCTGATTGGCGACCTGTCTGGCCGTGCCATTGTACTGCAGGCACGCTTGCTAGATGACCCGGAGCGCCTGGTGCCCTTCGAAGACCAGGAAGGCTCACAATGATCTTGAACAGTGCTGCCATGGCTTCTATGCAAAAGTTGACATCATCGGAATTGGTACCCTCGGGGAAGTAGTCGATCAAGATACGGGTATTTGTAGAAGTGACACCGCTGGTAGCCGAAGAAGTTGGAGAGGCCGACTCCTTGGATGAATCATCGTCACATCGTAGCAAGCAACCATTGAGGAAACTGATAATATTAGCGATACACAGCCCCGGGTTGACATTCGATGCATGATATCAATCACTTACTACCGTAAGAGTACTTGTTCACTCGTATCTGTTTTCTGTTGAGAAATAACTCTCAGTTTCTCCATGTGTTCGGGTCCTTGGTTCAAATGGTAATCTAGGCTCTCAGACAGTAGTAACACTGGGACCATGGCGGAACAGGCCACAAGAGTCGCAACACGATCGGCTAGCTTCTCGTTGTCCCTCAGCTTTTGAGACGTGGTAAGTCTTTGACCGTAGCTACGGATCGAGAATTTGGAATTGTCTGATAACCCCTTGGTTAGTTTAGAGAGCGGGATCTCCTTCCTGAAGCGGATGACCAAATCCCGTGCCTGGCGTTGAAGTTCATAAGATCTTCCTAGGCTCAGTCTCGGTGACTCGGCAGCATACAGAACAGATAGGATTGTACCCAGTTGAGCATCTGTGTAGGCACCTCGACGTTTGTCGCTCGTTGCCTTGAGACTCAGTGAAAACATCTCAGCCGTCAGCCTCACAAATGTTGAGTTGATCACCTCGCTCACTACGTCAATGCCTCGGCTATCATGATCCGATGAAGGATTGGGCATGCTGTATGATTGCGACTTTAAGAGGTTCGCCGACGTGAGGACGACAAAATCGGTGACCACATGCTTTGGGCTTTCAAGCGACGATACGGTCGGTTGCGTTTGGTCATTGCTCACCCGAGCTGCCTTCTCTGGCTCTCCTGACTCCTTCACGATGAGAGTATTTGCCTTACGGCTTGGAGGATCCCAAGTATACTCGGACGCCTTCTTCAAGCCTTCAAAGATGATTTTGTTTTCGGCAGGCGTGACAAGGGGATGGTGCGCATAAATGCTGTCCCGTTGGAAATGATGGGGGAAAGCACAGAAGATGAGCTTGTACATGACATTCCCGCTGTCAACGTCGAAATCAGAGTCAACTTCGGCGAATCCCCAGTTGGTCAGGTTCTTTGGCGTGAAATCGTCCGTGTAGAAGCGATCACCGCGTACAAGGGACACAGCATCGGACAAGATAGCTCTGCTAGAGGTGAAGCCGAGGCATACTCCGCTGCCAGGTGCCATGGGCGGCTTGGTCTTCTCCGACATCAGCCCAGGATACAGCTCAACGTTTGCTGGACTTCCATATAGACTCTTAAGACCTGCTGCGACGGCGGGATCAGGGTTGATATCTTCAAAGGTTCGATGCCGTGTTAGACCGATAAATGCTCGGAACTCGTTGAGTGTACACACTCGCCATCGGCGGGCCTGAAGAATCCCCAACATTTCAACCGGTCGTAAGCAGCGTGGAACAGAGTTGGCACCGAAGCTGCCAGCTGTGTCCTCAATGCTGGCACGCAGAATGTCCACCAGCTCGTCATCACTGTAGGCCCCATCAGACTGACGCTTGATCCCTGGCACAGAATCTCGCTGGTGCGGATCTGTTGGTAGTGCCGTTTCCCAACTTTGAAATGCCATTATCATCTCGTGAAATGTGGCCGTCTCCGGGTCTTTGCCATCCAGCAGTTCCCGCATCTCCTCAGCGATCCATTCAGCGTCTCGTGAAGACAAGATACTGTGCCACCTGTATAGAAGGTTGAATTCGACTGACACCTGGTTTCCAACGCCCGTGGGTGCCGTAGTCTTTTGTGCGTGTCGGTCCATGTTTGTCCGCGGATCGATCGTCCATGTCGAATCGGTGCGGTTCAGGCACAAGATGGCACGAACGTAGTCTTTGAGAATAATGTTGACGTATAAGCCACAGGTCACCAGGCGCCCAGTCTGAAACAAATCCTCGTCATACTGCTCCCACGCTTTCTGATCATCGGGGTCATTCGAGTCGCGTGCGGAGGTCGGTTTTTTGAAGCGATTAGCTTCGTTGATGCTACCCGAATGTCAGTCTAGGAAGGATTATCGCTGCGAAGGAGGAAACAAACCTGGCAAGCTGCTCGACTACGTAGTTGTGGAAGCGATTGAACATGACCAAAAACACGCGGCAGGCGGGAGGGAATGTTAGCAAGCGCTTGTGAGCAAAACAGTCGGGCTTGAGTAGGCCGTTCTTGAACTGCCGCATCTCCTTTTGCTCCTCCCATGAGTTCCCGTAGAGAGGAGAGAGATCCAGATATGAAGATGCCAAGTTGATTGCGCCATCGCGTCCGCCCTGTGATATGATGAGTTTACACTGGAGGAACGGAGAAGGTTGAGTTTGTCATACCGTTTGAAATATGTCATGCGTGATAATGACACCAAGATAGAACATCATGCTGGAGATGCCGCATTGGTGTGGCTTGCATCCGCCATTGCGCGACAGCAGTGTGTCGAAAATAAGCCCTGGATCCGGCATATCTGGGCTCTGCACATCCATCGGCGCCACGGAACGCGCATATGGAGTTCCCGCTGCGCCAAGTGTCCTCAGATACGGGTTGCTGTTTGATCCATCAGCCGTCCGATGCCGATTTTCTTGGCCCATGAGAGTGGGAATGGGCGTCGGCTGGGGATGGTCCAGCGTGGACCAAAGCTTGGTGATGAAGGCATCAGTCAGAAGCTTTCCTCTCCGGGAATGCCGAGGGAGCTTGTAAAGAAGCTGGATGAGCCTCTCCAACAGCATGTTCTCATCATCGTAGTAGCCGGCCTTTTCAGCTGCATGGAAGAGGCGGATTGTGCCTATGTCATAGAGCCTCAGGGTTTGTAGGTCTGTGAGAGTCCCGGTCTGAGGGACACTAAAGCCGCCAGACTGTTGACGGCGACGGTCTTTAAAGAATGAGGAGGGCTTCGACCATGCCCTGGCATTGGATGCGTGCCCTGCAGCTTTCGCCGTGGGCACCACAGGGACTGCCGGCTTGTCTTTGGGCATGTTTGGGAGTGTTTAGAACGAGAGTAAACAATAGAAAGAGAAACAGAATTCATGGAGAATGAGAAGAAGGGAGGACCAAGACCTACATCTACATGCGTGGGGAAACTAGCACCTCGCCAGCTGCTTCCTTTATTGTGCTAAGATGCGGGTGGCAGCTAGTCTTGTCGATCTCAGACAAGGACTGCCGGCTGCTAGTTTAGACAAGGAAAGGGCCCGGGAGATGGACTTGCAATATGATTGAAAGAAGCGGTCATCAGTGCTGGAGCTGTCCATGACAACTCAGTGTGATCACTTCACCAATGCGTGATTCAATAAAGTTGATTGATACCTTCCCAGTTGAATGCGAAGGCTACATGACTGCATGTGATGTGATCTTCTTAATCAATTCATCCTCATTCGCCAATGAATACTACCCTGGCTTCAGAGTTCAGCTGAGAGCTGATATCTGTTTGAGACATTCTAGCCCAGTCTGGTAAGATGCATGACACTATTTACGCCATATCATCAGACATACGAAATAGTCACCAGCCAGCCAATCTCAGTAATAACGCCAAGAGATCGACATCCACAGCACGATGCTGGTTAGCTGGCTGCATGGACATGGTGGTGATCTGCTGAATTGGAAATGCGATCAACGGAGGCCTTTGTCAAAGTTCTCAAGGTCCGACCTACTTCAGACACGCAATACACCTAGAATTGTCGAAGAGTGACATACAAATGCATAGCTAATAGACGATTATCTACAGCGTCCCCGGAGACCAATCGAAAAACTCCTCTATCCACGATTCATTTCCCATTTCCAACTCGTCCATCCACGGAGCCTGGTCAAAGTCGGTCAACTGAGCCTCACCGCAAGGGAGCGAAGCTGGCCCTTGTGCCGCTGAGGCCGCATCCCGCTTTGCAGTCACCCACATCTGGCTCAGGCGTAGGCACTTGGAGACCTGCCGGAACATATCATTGTCGGACTGTTCGTTCGCTGCCTTGCTCGCCTGGTCGGACTTTGCAGCCATCCATTCCAATACCGCTAGGAGGTCGATTGTTCTGTACACCGCTACTCGATCCCAGGCAGGGTCCTCAAAAACAGACAAGTGTTTCAAGATAACAAGGCAGCGCACAAGTTGAAACCAATAAAAGAAGGGAAAACCTATGTACAGAGAAGGCGAGACAGTATGGAAGCAGTCCAGCCAAGCCTTGGCGGCGTAGAGGCTTCGCCACAGGCACTCGACGGGTTCAAATCCAGGCACATTGCTCCCAACATTGGCAGACATTGATGCGGGGAGCAGAGGCTCGTTTGACGTAGCTTGGCGAACTGTCTCATTAATGCAAAGCTCGACATAGTGCGATGATGCACTGAGCATATCTATGGCTGTCAGTAGTGATGATTCGGGGACCTGGTCCTGGAACGCATACCCATGTGTGGTAGATTTGGAGACCGCGAAGCTCTCAGTTGATCTAGCTGGCCCTGGAGATATTTGATGTATATCGATGGAGGATTCGGCGACGCTATCGAGTTGGCATTATTATGCCCCCGAACCTCAGCGATTTTTTGCGCCAGCAGTTGAATCCGGACCTGGAAAACGAAAGCTTCATCAGATGAGGAGCGTTCATCATTGTCACTAATGGCACGCAGCCCTTCCTCCATTTGTGAAGTCCACCGCATAGGATCTATTCTTCGAAAGTATGAGGAGATACTAAAAGCATGCGCATGTCAGCGAGGAAAGGCTCAGACAGTCTCATGTGGCAGAATGCAACAGCAAATAGGCACAATGGAAATACACATACTAGCAGCTTAGGACGAAGCAGGCCAAAATAGCTCGTTGTTGCTCCAGGTAAAAGATTTTGCTCAGCGGCTCGGCTGCTTCACCGTCAGTAATACCAAGCCCCGGTGCCATTTTCGCTACCACATGTACCTCTGGTGGAGGAGGCCTGGCCTTCTGCAAATCATACACCAGGGAGATGGCCAACATCATCATACGTGATAGATTGCTTGTGCGCTTAATGAATGGATCAATGCTCCAAGTGATGTACGTCAAGATACTCAGCAGGGTGTCGATAGTTGATTCGTCTTGAGTCAAAGCTGACTTGGCCCAGATGAACCTTAACCCATCGATGCGGCTCAACTTAAGCTCTGTTGAAGATGTAGCTACAGCAACAATAGCTCGGAACAAGAGAGGTCTGTTCTGCCGAAGCTGGCTCGTCGTCATGGTAGAAGGAATATGAATGAATGGGAAAAGTGGTAACATCTGGTTCTGGAAGACTTGGAAATAATGGTCCGCCTCGCTGTCTGAGGGCTCATATAGCGGAGGCGAAGACGAATGCGAATGTTCCTCTGTCTGAAAAGAGCTCTGGTTTGATGGGAAAGATAACGGGCTGATATTACTCGTGGGTGTTAGCCCAGGAATAGTCCCTCCATCTGGATTGATAGTCCCCAGATACCCGCCAAGTGTTGATGAAGATGGATCAACCGACACTCCCGTGGCCCTGACGACTGAGTTCAGCATTGATGTAAGTGCCTCGATTTTGTTCTCCAGCTGCGCAATCTGCGCCCCCATTTCGCGGGTTTGCTGGCCACGTTTTCGCTGGGACTCTGATGCCTGACATTGTCTTTTGAGCCGGAAACACCTAGCAGACGATCAGATTTAGCCAAATCACTTTTCTCCCAGCCCCGGTCTACAAAATGTACTGACCTCTCGCAACCGCCGCCTGGTCGGGCCACACAGCGACTTTTCGCCTTGTAACATTGTACGCAAGCCTGACCGTATGTGCTGGCTTGCGGACCGTGAGGTTGCTTTTCCATTACCAGTTAGGGCTTTCGCAGTATGAGATTCGCGTATATCAAGTTATGAATAGTGCAACGGCCCCGACTCCGTTGAATGTATGTGCAAAAGGGAAGTAACCCTCCTCCGCGTCATCTCTGTCGGAGTTCGGCCACTGAAATCCTGCCCATGCCATATCCGGAACCATGATTACTGTCCACTCTTTTGGCGAATAGAGACATCTGGATAAGCCAGGGCACGGAGTTGAGTCCGTTCGTGCAGGTTCTTCTAGCCCAAAGTGAAATAGTACTCTAACTTGTGATTCGGGGGTTGCGCATCCTCGCAGGATTCCTGAAACGGCTATCGAGAAGTGTATGTTAATAACCGCTTACAGCTGTACATTCAGAGTCTGAATTGCATTCGAGATCAAGGTGGGCTATACGAGAATAGTTGTTGCGCGAACTCCCGTGACTGGGCAAATATTTTAATATTGCTTTTACTGAACTTAAGTCGTCAACTAATTTGTCAAATCCTTTTTTGATAATGCCGGAAATTAATTAGGCATTAGAAAATACACCAAAAACAAAATAACTATTGGAACACTACCAATATCGTTATGAGAGTCATAGAGTCATGGTTCAATCACATCTATCTTTCAATCCAAGCCAACTACGAGAACTGCACCATCTTCTCTTTCAGCTTTCCCCAGATAATTTCCCCTGCGTTCAGCCTGTTGAGCTCCGCCATAACCTTTTCCTGTTGCAGCTCATGTAGCTTATCGTTGACCAGAAACAATGAGCCTCCCTGTCGCGTTTTGTCCATGGTAAGTCCCGGCTTCACTTTGGCGCCAAGCGGGACGCCTTGAGCGCCGTATTTTGCACTGGTCATTAGGTACACGACCTTCTCCCCGGCATCTTCTGGTGTTGTTGCCGCTAGAGAGAGAATCAATCCGGCAGCTCCAAAGAACCACTTGTCTCCAAAAGCTTTTTCGAAAAGCCCCGTATTCACACCGCCAGGGTAGTGATGGATAAAGATAACGTGAGGATTTTCTTTAGCCAGTCTTAGCATCGACAACGTCGTAGAGACCACTGATGTTCTAGAAGAATTCATAAGACTGAAGTTTCCAGGTTTCTTGAGTTCTAGATCATCCAGCGGGAGAGAGGAAGTCTCGTTTCCCGCAGCGAGGACATTGACGATACGCGGGTTGTTGGTAGATGCGTTGAGCAAAGGAAGGAGTTGGATCATCATCGACAGTCGGTTGTAAAAGCTCAATGCCAATGTCTCAGGAAGGCCCTCGGAGGTTTCTAAGTCCAGTAAGCCTTTGACTTCCGAAGCTGCTGATCCAATACGTACCCGTTCGTTCCCCTTTAGTGAGATAGCCGGGACTTGTATACAGAATATCGAGGCTCTTTTCACGCTCTTTAATGGTTTCACAAAGCCTCTTGGTGTCGGCAAGGAGTGAGACTTGGCCCTCAAGCCAAATAATGTCCGCTTTCCCATTAGATGCACGGAGCTGATCTAGGAAAGGCTTATGCTTCTCCCCGTTACGGCCAATGACGTAAATCCTAATTGGAAGCCTTGTCGACACTAGACGAGCAAGTGATGCCTTCCCAATTCCGTCCGTTGCTCCAGTGAAAACTGCGGTTTGTGGTGCTGTACCTTGAGAGATCCGGCTGTTCGAAGCCTTGACTTCTGAGATTGAAACCGTCATTGTGGCTCGAAAGAAAAAAAGGTCAGGTGGAAGTCGGAGCACTTTAACGATTTAGATGCTTCCACCAACCAACAAATAAAATTCACTGCGGTTGGCCAAGACATGATAATTAAATAGTCATTAGCGGTTGGCAGAGAACCGGAATCCACGGCCGTCACCGTCGGAGTTTAACACCGTTCGCTTGCGCAGTCCATCATGGTGATAGCCAGTGCATTCTGAGAGAAGTGTGCAACGGAATCTGACCTCCGCTCCTGTTGGACTAAGTTTACTCGCTACCTGTGCAGAGCTAGTACATATTGTGCTACGCCTGCTTCAGAGGTTTGGTCAAACCACAAAGAGGCTAGATGGGCATCGAAAGGGTCGACAGCCTTATTACGCGATGCTGCACGCAAGAGCCAGAACTCTTTATTTTCTTGCTTGGACTTACATCACTAGGACTGTCTCATAGCCTCGAAATTGCGTGCTGTGGCTGCTATGATTCGATCTAGCTCCCATTAGGAAATGACCGAGTTGCGATCTTCCCAGCCGATCAGCATCGGATTGGACCGCGTGCATGGAAAATGGAAAAGCAAGACGATGCATGATCTGCCATTCCGTCATGTTGCCGCTCTCCGCATAAGACTTGATCTCGGTACGACTCGGGGCGATAAACTTTGAGTGTAACTTCGATCTTGAGGTTGTAGGACCTCATTGTAGTTGAAAGAAATCCCACGGCCTTGCTTCAACCACGAGATCGAATCTTGATCATCTCACGGTAAATACGGCCGCCGTTAGGGGACCCGCAAAGCTTGTCTGCTTCCTCGAATTCTCCCACCAATCGTTCCATTTAGCCCGGACAGCCGGTAGAGTTGGATAAATCGGGTGAACTTACCTTAACTGCCTCGTATCTATAAAAAGTGAACAAAGGGACACGTATCCAATTGCGATAAGGAACGCGTTTATTTGTACCTGCACAGCTAATCCCTCATCCCAACTGTCGAGAATCGATCAACTCGTCAAATGAAGTCCCACGTCTCTATCATCGCGGTCTTCGCACTAGTCTGCCAGAGCCTGGTGGCCGGAAAGCATTTCGGTATGGAGAAATGCTCATCTGTAGTTATTTTCGGTGACAGCTGGACCGATATGGGCATTTACTCATACATACCACGCGTAAATGGCACACTTCCTACGCCCGTATGCAGCCCATCCTCTCCTCCCCGCGAAGTCTAGCTCACTATCAAATAGAAACCAGTCACATCCACCGGTGGCCGGATTTGGCCGCAATATATCAAGCAATACGCAAATCAGGTCAACGTTTACAACTATGCTGTCAGCGGGGCTATGTGCGACACCCTATTCTCCCCAACTAACCGAAACGCCCTCAAGCAAAACCAAGTACCAGCCTTTCTAAGAGACCTTGCCTGGAGGAATGAGACTTCGAACGAGCCTGCGATCAAGGTCCCCGCCGACGAGACAGTGTATGCAATCTGGATCGGCACAAATGACCTTGGATACGCTGGTTTTCTTAGGGAGCAACAACCGCATGATATGCCTCTCACCGCGTTAACCAACTGCATATACGAACAGTTTGATCGGGTATATGAGGCTGGAGCCCGATACTTCGTGATTATGAATATGGGAGCACTCGAAATCACGCCCTTATATGCGACATTTGAGAACAACGGAGTTTCGACGTCTAGATTCTGGCAAGATAAGACATCTTACGACGCGAACCTGACCCGCGTAAGCGAAAAGATGCGCCAGTACAGCGGTACCCTTAATACTTTATTTGAATACCAAACGCCATATGAAGTCCAACTGTCAAAACGTTATCCGGGTAGCTCTTTCGCGTTGTTTGATACCGCCAGCCTAGTAAGATCTCCCTCATACTAAACACCAATTAGACTTGTGCCCGGTTTCCCTAACACCCCCCTCCTTTAGATCCGGGACATGTGGCATAATCCAAGGAACTATCTTAATGGGACTAGTGAGTTGAACGTCACGGGATCGTATCTTGGGTGCTTGGAGAGTGGGTGTAAATTTTCGGGCCCGGACCCAGATAGCTTTCTCTGGTACGACGAGCTCCATCCCTCAGAACAGGCCAACCGTTGGTTTGCGAGAAAGTTTATGGAGGTTGTTGGAGGCCACAGCAATCTGGCAAAGTATTGGAAGTCTAAATAAGAGTTGATATTTAGTATGATGAGATGCTTTTGCTATAGGTACAGTCTTTTCTTATGGTGAATATATGGGTTTTCTGTTGTGCATTTGGATTGACACAATGCCCCCAATGATGGAACGAATCAACCCCCGAGACTGTAAACAGGGAGTGCGAGATGTGTGGCTCTGTGATACGCGGTCTAGAACTTCACCACCTCAACTTGGGTTGCCACGTTTCCTTTTGTCGCTCTAGAGTAGGGACAGACTTTCTTAGCTTCCTCGACCACGTTTTCCAGGTCCGCCTTCTCCAACCCTTTCACCTGGACCTTCATGTGGACGCGTAGCCCCATGTCTAACCCCTTCATATCGCCAACAAGCTCCACGGTGGTGTCAATAACGCTGTGCTCCTTCTCCGTCGGCATCGTGATGCCCATCTTGGCAGCGCAAGCATTCATAGCCGACTGAAAGCAGGCACCGTAACCCGCCGCGAACAGCTCCTCTGGATTGGTCTTGCCCTTGTCGCCGGGTCCCCCGAGGGCTTTGGACATTGTCAAGTCGACAACCAGATTCTCCGCTTCGACATGGCCTTTGCGAGCACCGACGACTTTCGCATGGGCGGAATAAAGTAATGGCGCGGTTTCAGTGTTGAGATACCTCGCAGTGGGAACGTAAAAATTGGTGAGCCTACATGAAGTTATTCGACGCAGGAGGGGTTGACAGCGGTACAAAGAAGTGAGAGATGCCATTTTCAATAATTTTTTTGATTCTAGACGAGCGACGAAGGATTCAATCAAGTGGAATTAGGGATACGGTCCAACATAAATAGCGTGCATAATCTGAATAAAGTTAGACATTTGCAAGTGATGGGCGTCATAGAAGAATGTTCAACGTCATACACTACATTCCCCGATCGCAATGATAGCGACTTGTCAAAGAAATCGAATATTCCAAATCTGCACAAGGGAAATATTAATCATCTTTGATGGTGTCAGTGACAGGCTACATGGTCACTGTGGGTGATCAAGGAAAAGGCTGTGCTGATCCAAATAACCAAAAGGGATTTTTTTTGGGGCACATGTGACTTATGATCCACCTGACACAGTGACGAAATAAACAAAGAGAAAAAAGGAGGAAAAACCAAGAGTCGTCCCGAAACCTTAATAGAAGGTTCGCGCTCAACCTTTGCAGCTGCAGTCACAAAGCTATATCGCGGCCGTGACTCCTTTTCTAAATAGTCAATTGAACTTCGCGATCAGCACAAGTGCACTCGTCTTTTGCTGTGTAGTAGAATCGGCTCTGACAATTTTTGCGGACAACTGGATCAAAGCCGCTTACAGTAAACAGAACCGGCCGTCATCATGCGCAGTGGCAATGATAATCATCCTATCGCAAGGATCGAAGCAGAATGCTCGGAATACAAATCAGGAAAATTGTCCTATTGGTCGTCCTGCCGAAGCGAAGGGGAACCGGTTACCAATGGTTTCTGGTCCTACATTATAGGATCGCATGTTTCGCGCCCGCTTCAGTGACTCATCTCTGATTTATTAACTCAAATACTCAATCATATAACCAGAACTATCCAAAGGTCTTAAAAAAAGCGGGGGAGAAATATCTTTGGGTTTCATTTTCATGCAGCTCAGCAGGCAGAAGCGCAGCAGTGAGGCGAAGCATGGCTTGCCCTGCCCCATGATTGGCTTATGGCAAGCTTCTTGATGCTCATCCAAGATATATCCCGAAACGAGGTAAGATCCTTGGCATGTGAGACTCTAATCCAGGATGGCCTGATAGAAGGCGTCTGGACGCCTTGCAGGCATATTCGTAGCTTTGCGCCTCCTGCACATGCATTAGCAAATCTTTTGGCGTTTAAACGAATATCTCTCCTGATCTCTATTTCTTGAATCTTCTTAAATACGCCCCTTTCTGACCTTTGTTACTCACGCGCTCCCTCAAGACAATCCTGTTCATCACTGTGTGCACTTTCCTGTGAGTATGGCCCGCCCGCCAACTGCGTTCTTGCGAGGAAAGAGAAGAACCAAGGTATGAGAAGTCTTAGCTGCTGCTCACGCTTTCCATGACAGTCCTCCCTAAATACTCATATATCCCACTATACTAACAAAATCCTCCTTCGTCTCAGAAAATGTCCAGCTCATCTAGCTCAAGCTCCTCAAGCGAGGACTCCGTCGAGCATGTCAACGGAAATTCGAAAGCCGCTGCCGAGGAACAGGCACAGAAGGAGAGATTCGTAAAGGTCCTCTCCGGCACCGTCGATGTTGTGCCCCTCGAGAAAAACAGCTACGGCGAGTCCCAGGCCGCGGAGCTGGGATACTCGTCCCGCCTCGTCAGCAAGTGGTACCGCCACAAGTGCGAGTACAACTCTTGCCCGGCCCGCTGGGCCGAGTTTGACAACGTGGATGACGAGGAGGCCAACCTCAACGAGCGCGTATCGTCCGTCCCCATCATCCACCGGCACGCCTATGTGAAGAGACACTGGGTGACGCAGTCGGTCACGATCCAGGACCCTGCCATGCGCCAGGTGCTTCGGGCTGTCCTCGCTAAGTACCAGGACCTCGACCTTGAGCTTATCAACTGGACCTTTGAGCCCCCATTCATGCCCCTCGTTCATAGGTGGGATGATCTCAAGGCTTACTATGTAGGCCTCGAGGCAGGCAAAATCAAGAATGCTGCATCGGCTCTCCTTGCATTTTTGACACCCATTGTCACCTCGTCTGTTCTCTCGCTCTCTCATACCAGGCAGACTGGCAAAGTGAGCTTTGAGGACATCTGGCAAATATTCCCACCCAGCTCCGTCGTCCTGACCAGGTTCTACGGCGTTGATGTCATCTGCCGAGTGATCAAATATAAAAAGGTCAAGTGCAATAATACTGAAGGTTGGGCGATTGAAATGGAGTTCATCGACTGGAATGGAGAGACTTCTGGCTGGAAAACCACCTCTGTCACCATCTGGGAATACGATGGTTATAGAAGGGTAACCGGTCTGCCCGTATTCCCCATTTCATTCACCACAGAGGAAGAGAAAATCCGAGAGGCCATGATTGAGCGAGGACGCAAATGGGCCAGTCTTCGCGGTTACCACTTCAAAATCGTGAACGGGACCAAGATCCTTCTTGAGACAAAGGAGCCTCAACAAAGACCGGTGAGTCAGACTCTACAACAAGGTAAACGAGCTGGCTAGTTCACATTGCTAACGATTGAAATCACTAGGTTTCCGGGAAAGTCTGCGTTGATGCGTATGCCTACTACAAGGGCTGCAACATTGTCAAACCTTTCCTGCGTCCAGTTGCTGCTGCCGTTTCCATATCCGACGCTACATCGGATGATGGCGAAAATAGCCCCGAAGAGAATGATCCATTGCCTTCTGAAGGATTCAAGGCAGACTTTACCGCTGTCCAAGTTGATACCAGCTCCAAAGCAAAAGGCCCCGCGGACCGGGGTGAGGAGCTACATGCTTTGTCCGACGAGGAACTGTTGATGACGACACCTTGGATGAAGGGCTTTGACCTCAAATCTAAAGACTTCTGTGAGCTCAACGTCTCCGATCTCCACGACATGCAATGGAACGATGAGGCGTTTGAAAAGCTCGTCTTGCCTGGCGGAGAGAAGGACCTCGCTTGGACGTTCGTGGAGAACAAAAGCCAGTCTACCTCCGATTTTGATGACTTTGTCGCTGAAAAGGGAAGAGGTCTCATTATTCTCATGTTTGGGCCTCCCGGCGTTGGAAAGACTTTTACCGCAGAGGCCGTGGCTGAGAAGTCTCGTGTCCCTCTATACTCCATGAGCGCTGGTGATCTAGGCACAGCACCCTCTGAAGTTGAGAAGGCTCTTGGACGCGCCCTTGAGCTCTGTCGCATGTGGAATGCCATGTTGCTCCTTGATGAGGCTGATGTCTTCCTCGGGGAACGCACCAATGAGTCGCTGGCCCGCAATGAGCTGGTCTCTATTTTCCTCCGAGAGCTGGAATACTACCAAGGCATTCTTTTCCTCACCACAAACCGTATTCGAAGCATTGATAATGCCTTCCAGTCTCGAGTTGATCTCTTCTTGCCATATCATGACCTCACCAGCGAGGCTAGGAAGCAGGTCTGGGAGAACTTCATCAACCGTGCTGGGCGAGACAAGTTTGATCTCGCTGGTGACTCGCTGGATAAACTCTCCTCGCTCAAGCTCAACGGCCGCGAGATCAAGAACTTGATCAAGTCTGCCCAGCTCCTCTCGATGAAGGAGTCCGGGAAAGTGCCCGTTGAGCGGCTCGTGCTACTTGCCAACAAGCGCGTCGAAGCACTCAAGGAGCTTGATACGGATGAACACTAACAGAGACAGGAGTATGGAAAGGGCTCGTGTCGGGTTTTCACTCTCTTAACCCAGCCGAACTTTCTCGATATTTTGTCTCTAATATTAGCTTTTTTTTTTCCTATTAAGTCCAGGCTAGATGAGAAATAAACAGAGTTTTATGCCAAGTTGAAGCTACTTCAAGAACCCGGAGCGTGCTTTTGTAGCCTCCAACTATTCGTTTTGTTAGATATCATGGTTTGTCGCCATGGGTATGTCACAAGGCGCCTAATAAAATAACCCACATTATGTTGGTTTAAACACTTACTAGAAGTAGATTCCTTGTCTAACAGTATCTTGCTTTTCTACCGCGTTTAGCTCCGATCTGCTGAAACTCGCTGGTTACACTTCGTCATCCCAAGCGCGCAAGCTGATGAATTTATGTAAACAATCGAGGCTACTTTCTTTTCACCGTCAACATTGATCCGTCAACTAATTTATTATCAGAAACTAACAAACTGTTTATCCGAATCGATCAGAAAACTAGTCTGACCTCCGCCCGGACTCAACATTTTGGTTGCTGGGCTGACAGCACGTTAAAACGGGAGATCTTCCACTACTTTATTAATCGCCGAGCAGCCTCCGAGAAAAAATCCAATCTTTTAGCAGCCGCGCCTATCACTCCTCTCGTTTTCATGCAGTGACAGTTATTCTCCACCTAAGAAGGGAGTTGACGTTGCATAGCGAGGATGTGAAAACAGCCTAATATCTCCCCATGCCGTCATCGCGCTTTTCTGTTTCCCCGTCGCCATATATTAAACCCCGCTTGAAGTGGAATTTCACTCCTCTCTCCTCAATTTCAAGGAAGGAAAAATCAGACAATCTGAGGATGAATTTACTGAAGAAACGATTGGCTTTTTCTTGGGCTTCGGCCGTCGTGTTGTTCTTCTCCACGGGTTCCGCCCAGGAGACAAAGACCGGTGAGCAGTTTCACAAGCAAACGTGTGATGGAATTCAAGAGGCTCATTCTGTAACACAGGTATCTTGGTTGATGGAACCTCCTTCGCTCTAAACGGGGAGAATTCGTCTTATCGTTTTCACGTGGACAACACTACTCTGGATCTCATTGCAGACCATTTCGGCGGACCGACAACCGAGGATGGGATATACGCCGAAATTGGCCCAATCAATGGATGGGTCAACATGATCGGGCGTGTCCGACGTGAATTTCCCGACCTTGGAAGAGGCGACTTTCGAACACCGGCGGTGCACATTCGTCAATCTGCGGGTTACACCGTCAGTGAGTTTCATTATCAGTCTCATGAGGTTCTCGAGAGCAAGCCTGCACTAGACGGGTTACCATCTACGTTTGGTGAAGGATCAGATGTCTCAAGTCTGGTTATCCACATGTACGACAATTACAGCTCTGTCGCAGCGGACTTGACATACTCGATATTCCCGAAATATGATGCTGTTGTCCGCAGTGTCAAAGTAACCAACAAGGGCAACGACTCCATTGTTATAGAGAAGCTGGCAAGTATGAGCATTGATCTTCCCTACGATGATCTAGACCTTCTCGAATTACGGGGCGACTGGGCTCGTGATGGTGTGAGAGTCAGACGGCCGGTAGGTTACGGCACACAAGGGTAAGTGATAGTCCTTGCACGGGTGCTTGCTGAGAAATGTATCATATAACTAACCTATGTTTATTTTTTATTAGATTTGGGAGCACTTTGGGATTTTCTTCCGCTCTTCATAACCCATTCCTCGGTGTTGTTTCTTCAACAGCAACAGAATCCCAAGGAGACGCATGGGGGTTTTCTCTCATCTACACTGGATCATTTCAAGCCGAGGTTGAGAAGAGCTCGCAAGGGCTGACCCGAGCCGCGATTGGCTTCAACACATACCAACTGTCTTGGAAGCTCGGCCCCGGCGAGTCTCTGACATCGCCAGAGTGTGTGGCGGTTTACTCGAACGCCGGCATTGGTGGAATGTCACGCAAGCTGCACCGGCTTTATAGGAATCATCTCATGAAGAGCAAGTTTGCAACTGCAGAGCGACCTATCCTTCTCAATAGCTGGGAGGGCCGGGGGTTCAGAGTCAATGAAAGCTCTGTTTACCAGCTGGCAAAAGAGACAGCCGATTTGGGAGTCAGCTTGTTTGTGCTGGACGACGGGTGGTTTGGGAACGAATATCCTCGACAAAATGATTCTCTCGGACTCGGCGACTGGCAGCCAAATCGCCAAACATTTCCGAATGGCCTCGCACCACTTATCGAAGACATCACCCAACTTTCAGTTGCCAACAAGACAGATCAGACATTGAAATTCGGCTTATGGTTTGAGCCTGAAATGATAAGCCCGCGATCGACCTTGTACAATGAGCACCCAGACTGGGCTCTTCATGCCGGGCCGTATCCTCGCACACAAACTCGCAATCAGCTTATCCTCAACCTTGCGCTGCCCGAAGTCCAGGACTTCATCATCAAAACAGTTGGGGACATCCTCCGAAGTGCCCCTATTTCTTACGTCAAATGGGATAACAACCGTGGAATTCACGAAACGCCCAGCCCAAGTCTCGATCATCAATACATGCTTGGTGTATATCGCGTTTTTGAGGCTTTAACATCTGAATTTCCGGACGTCTTGTGGGAGGGATGTGCATCGGGTGGAGGTCGTTTTGACCCTGGTATTCTGCACTGGTTCCCGCAAATTTGGACATCCGATGACACAGACGCAGTAGAGCGAATAACCATTCAGTTTGGCACCTCTTTAGCGTACCCTCCATCGGCCATGGGAGCACACATCTCCAATGTGCCCAACGGCGTCACAAAGCGTACGACGCCTTTCCTCTTCCGAGCCCACGTTGCAATGATGGGCGGTTCGTTTGGTCTTGAATTAAACCCAGAGGACATGGATCAAGACGAACTAGCACAGCTCCCTGAGATTCTCGAGCTCGCCGAGCGTCTCCAGCCCATTATCATCCGCGGAGACATGTGGCGCCTGGCGCTTCCTGAGGACTCGCAATATCCAGCCGCACTTTTCATCTCGGAAGATGGATCTGAGGCCGCGTTTTTTGCTTTCCAGATACGGCCCTCGATTACTACCAAGCGACCTATCTTCAAGTTGCAAGGTTTAGATGCCAGGTCGAAGTACACGGTTGGGGGAAACCAGACTTTTTCCGGTGCCACTCTCATGAATGCTGGAATCCAGCTCAAGTTTGAGAATGAGTATGATAGCAAGGTTATCCTGCTGCAAAAGCAATAGGCAAGAAGTATCAATACAATAAATGTAATGAGCGTTGATGTACCAGAAAAGTACACGTGATATCAGCCTTGTAGCAACATCAATGCTATTGAAATCTCGACAGGTCCAAGTCTTCTGTAAACGGAGCGCGACTTTTGTGGTACCCCATTTGATTTGAATAAGTTGAACATGTCATCTTCGTTCCATGGAATCTCGGGCACCATCAATCATAACGTGTCATATTGTGGTAGGCTTGGTCATGTTCAGGCTGTTACTGAGGTTCGGGTGTCATGCCACCTTCATTGGTCAATGGGCAGTTTCGGCTCTTTCGAATGCAGAAAAATTCACAGCCTCTCCCGTCTTAGTAAAGATAATCGGCGATTTCTTTCTTAGGAGAATTAATCGTATATGCAGTGCTATGTAAGCTGATCTAACTCAGTGAAAACACCAATCACCACAATGTCAGATCCACAGTGACTCATCCTGAGACAGCGTCCATCATTTTCATTCATTCTGAGCTCAAAAGTTATTGAAACAACTCAGATAATTATCCATTATATAACTAGGCGGTTGTAGGCGGAATAATTAAAGGTCTCCAAGCCTAATATTTACACTATACCACCAATTAACTCATCAACATCACATTCAAACCGTCACAATGCTGTATAAAGACAAGACCGAATACACCACGGTCGACGCCGACTTCCAGCCACTGCCGAAGCACGGGCATCTTTCCAAGATGACCCCCGAATTTGCAGAGCTGAAGGAAGCAACCGACCAAATGTTCAATCCCATGTGGGAAATCACTGACATGGCCACCCTCCTCAAAGTCGGACGTACCGACCCGGGCACAACCTACGAAGATCGTGGCATCATCACCGAGTTTATCCAGTTGCCCGCCAGTGATGGCACACTGATTGAGCTCAAGATATATCGCCAGCCCAAGGTGCAGGAGAATGCCGCGCTCATTCTGAGACTACACGGCGGTGGTAAGTTAAAATCACAGGGAAATTCAATAGCAATTGATTCAAAGATTGTTATGGCTAATTTAATTGCCCACATAGGCTGGATGGTCGGTTGCCACGAGACTGATGGCGAAGAGAATGCACAAGCAGCGGCAAATCATAATGTCGTGGTAGCCAGCGTGAACTACAGGATGTAAGTTTGTCCACCCAGGATTACACTGGCAAAAAACCTGACCCATGAATTATTTCTAGGGCCCCTGAATTTCCCTTTCCCCAACCACTCTATGACGCCTACGATGCTTTGGTTTGGTGCAAAGCCAACGCTGAGAAGCTTAGTGTCAATCCCGAGAGGATTATCTTGGCCGGAGGAAGCGCAGGCGCCAATCTAGTAAGTGCCTGGAGTGAATCCGAGATGCCTCCTCAATCTTCTCCATAGAGGTGTTATTAATCATGCTGTTCACAGACTGCGGCGCTCGCTTTGCTGGCCAGAGACAACGGAATCACCGGAATTCTTGCCCAGATCCTCCATTTCCCCATCATCTGCCACCCAAAGTTCTTCCCCAGGGACAAGTACGAGTTTGGAAGTTATATACAGAATGCTAACGCCAGCGTCCTCGATGCCATCAAGATGGAAATGGCGCTGGACACGTATATCCCAGACGCAAAGCCTGATTTCCGCCATTCGCCGATTCTTGCTGAATCCCACAAGGGTCTCCCTCCTCTCTGTAAGTTCCTTCGTTAACTAGCTAGCGGACTGACCATCTGTTCTTGGCCTTCAAAGTAGAGATCACTGGCTAATTTCTTTCAAGTGCTACAGTGCGCGGGTCTTGACCCTCTTCGCGATGAGGCCATCGCCTACGCTGAGGTCGTCCAGGAAGCGGGCGTCGAAGTCGAGCATTACGCTTACCAGGGCCTCCCGCATCATTTTCACACAGTTGTGCCAACTGTTCCAGAGTGCAAGCCTTTCTATGCCCGTTATCACGCCTTTTTGACCAAGATTCTCAAATAATCTACTCCGTCATTATCAGATCTGTTCCAACCAGCCATGCCGCCACCACTATTGCTGGAAAGGGATGGAAGCAGGAAAGTCCGGCGTCAATTTGAAGGAATGCATTTCAAAGATAGATCATGGACCACTCGTCTGAAATATAATGAATCCAGATCTAAGATCCAACTTTTATCGCATGTCGCTCTAGTCTACCCTACAAGACAAAGCTCATATACTGAGGCAACGATCAGCCATCATAAGACAAGTATTAGAGACCTTCTATTTATTTCAATATCCTTGACTAGTAATGTTAGATATCTCGCAATCGCCTTGGCAGAAGGCCCAGCTGAAAGTAGTATTACCGATAGGTTCTAGCCAAAAGCGAAATAGAAAATATCCGCAACGAGGCGGATCAAGATAGTGGGCTTCTGCAGCCGCAAATGAATCGGGTCAGAATATAATAGCGATCGGCAATCACAAGAGTGGAGTGAATATTCGTGGCAAATACATGTTCCTGCTTATTTCGTCTTTGTTGCCGTGGGTGGCGGTATCGCTCCTCGTTAGTCGTTGTCTACAATCCGTGCATGAAGTTGAAGATATGGCGCTTCTTCACAAACTCGATTGAGCTTCAGTGTGATCCCCGGTACTTGTGCAAGTGTCGTTTGAATAACTCTCCTGGTCCCTGTCTCAAACGCAGCCACGTGGTGCGATGCCTGCGCACGGATGATGAGATTCGCATGACCAGAGATGCGCTCCATCTAATAAGTGATTTATATCTGAATCTTCTTTCTGGAATTGCCGACACATAATCAAGCGTTTCTTTGCTTTTGCGAAAATGATCGACGACCGACCACGGAGTGTCCACATGAGGCAATCTTACGTCTTCTCGGTAATGCCCCAATGTGGTGGCTGGATCCCGCCCCCTGGAAATCAGCTGGGACCTGAACAAGGTCGCAATAAAACTCCATCAAGGGACTGTCTATAAAGTGAAGGTGATAAAATGTCCGTGAGGGGTCTTGGGCCCATAGAATCGGGGATGCCTTCTGTGAGGATTCCAGTCTGTTCGTAAAGGGATGGTCGTTTGACTTCACGGTGGACGAAGGCACAGCACGTGTGGTGGTCAGGCCATGATGATTGATTTGTGACGGCTAAGCGGATGGTAAGCTGCTGTGCCTGGGTGATGTTGTCGGCACAGAGCATTTGAGTGCAACTCTGGAACGGTGAACGCGCTGCTTCCGCCCAGCCGCCTTGATTGGATCGAAAGACTACATATCCAAAAACTCTAGACGAGGAGGCGATTACCGAAAAAGACCTCATCCACCAGGGGCACGTCCCACATCGTCCCATCGTAGCTCGTTTAGTTGCTGCTAGGATCGACTTAACAAGGCACGGTGCCTTGATTCTTCTTTAGGCAGGTCTCTAGCGTTCCTCCAGACTCCGATAGGGCCACATGATCTTCTTGCGTGCTTTGACCTGCAGCATGACATTCGGCAGTACGCTCGGGTATTGAGCAGGCGAGTGCTGCAGGTGCCGTTGCGTGACAGGACAGAGCAGGTCCGCAAAATGCTCACTCAGAGAACTGTGGGATCAAGGCTCAAATATAGCAAACCACCTTCTCCGGTCGAGTTCCGGCGGAATGACTCGGTCCCCATATCGCACCACGGGTTGGGGCAGTCTCGCCTCATTGGCTAGTTCTTAGTGATCCTCCGACTAAGACCTTCCTCATTGACTCGATCTACGCGCGAACCCCCTCCAAGACAAGCCGGACTAATACGTTAGGTAGTAATGGGAATAGGACGCAAATGCAGGGCTGGCAAGTGTCAGGAGTTAGGGCACTCTCCTATATTGAATGTGTTCAAATATCAGCACTCCCTCTGGGATGTTCTGGCTGGTAGTGTCAGCTTGACGAGGATTAGACGCTCTCTGGTCTGTGGTCCGTACGATCCCCCTCGGTTCTAAGCACATTTAGTCAAAATCGACACCAACGTTCTCTTCTAGGATGGGTTTTAACATGCGGCTCATGGTGGCGGCAGCATTGCTGGTAAGGCCTCTCCCAAGAACTCTCCGAATAATTCGGATTAGTGTCTTCATGATCAAAACTCCTAACATGATATTTCACAGTGCGCCCCTCTTGCTCACAGCAAGCCAGTGCCTACGCCTGTGGCTACGTTTGTGCCTACACCTGCACCAACCCCTGAGGAGACTGTGAAGGTTCAGCAGGACCGGGTATCGGTCCAAGCTACAAACGACATCTCCAGCTGTGGTGATGAGTGGATGCCCAGGGACGACGTCAAGATCGGCCAGGGAACCGATACTCGTCCTGGCTTCAGCACCGCAGTGCAGAAATTCTGTAGTGCGGTGAACGGGCAAGTCGTCAAGCCAGATGGCTATGTTTCGCTTGCAACCGAAATCTTCTTGAACAGCGGCAAGGCACCTACTTCCTATGGTATCCAGGGATATGTATACTGTAAGTTTGAAACCACCCGGGATTCTCAGGCGCGAAGCTAATACTGGACGAAGTCGAGGTCCATAACAAGGAGAGCTCGGATCACACCATCTCACGTAAGTAAATGGTCCATTTCTTCCACACATGCTGATAGCCTAAGCTAACTTGATACCAGTCGATAGCTGCAAGCAGTATCTACTTGCTCTGAGCAAAGATGGTGGTAAATGCTCTGGCGAGACTAACAAGGACACCAAGGGCGGAACCTGGCAAGTCGGAAACAATGGAATCTCCTACCATGCTCTGGGAACCAATGTTCCCCCCAAGCAGGATGCCATCAACAAGCTCTTCTGGGGCTCGGCAATCGGTGCACAGAGCGTCAACAGGGGATCAGGCGCACCTCTGAACCCTTGGCCTCTGGATTCTCTCAAGAACGTCAAGCCCACCAAGTGCCACAGCCACAACGACTACGACAATGACATCCCCATCTTCACCGCCTTGAGCGCTGGCTGCATTGGTATTGAGGCCGACGTCTGGTACTTCCTCGGGGATGTCATCATTGGCCACATCCTTCCCACGCTCGGCAGAACACTGACCGTTCAGTATGTCCAGCCCCTGCTGGCCATTCTGAACCACAACAACGGCGGCTCCCCAGGACCCATTGGTGTCTACCCAGCCAGTCCCAACCAGGGCATCACATTGTTGATTGACTTCAAGACCTCCGAGGCCGCTACTCTGGATACCGTCAACAAAGCCCTCCAGCCTCTCCGCGATGCCGGATACCTCAGCCGTGTTGAGAATGGAAAGTTCGTCGAGAAGCAAATCACCGTCGTTGCCAGCGGCTACTCCTCATTCGACCGCATCAACGCAGGCGACGGCGTGCCCAACCGTGACATCTTCTACGATGCCCAAGTTAACAGCTGGAGCTCCAAGTATACCAGCCTCAACGCTTACTACGCATCGGCCAACTTCAAGGATGACGTCGGAAACCCTGGAAGCGCTTCTGCCTTTACCGACGACCAGAAGAACAAAGTAAGGACGCACGTTGCCAACGCTCACTCAGCTGGTCTCAAGGTCCGATACTGTAAGTTTTCATCTACCTGACTAGCTTTCATACGAACCCAGCTAATAATATGATCCAGACGACCTTCCCGGAGAGTACATGTGGGAGTCATTGGCCGACCTTGGCGTGGACAGGCTAAATGCCGATGACCTGTCCAACACGGCCAGACTGCCTCGTCTATAGATGAAGTAATGATTAGTCCCGCTCAGCGTAGCGTGTTGGATAGTATGAACGGAACACGAGATGATGATTTTTCACGGCTGCAGTTGTCTATACCCATATATACCACATTGTCTTCCGCACAGTGCAACCTTTGTCTGGTGATGCCTACTCTTTGTCATCAGGCTTTATTTTCACCTAATTTGTCATTTACTTGAATAATTAGGTAAAAGTCTGCTAGAAAGGAAAGACAATTCTTTTAGACGAGAGTAGCAATTTGACGCAACGTATTGGGATGTTGTTACCCATAGCTCGATAGCGAAAAGCGAAAGATATATAAAACAGGCTTTAACGTTTCAACTAGAAACTAATCTAAGATCATATTTATGTAAAGAATCACCAAGTCGAGCTTACGCCTCAAAGTGTGTGTAGAAATACAAATTATAGGAGGTAAATATCACACAATGAAGCTCAGCAACCCATGGCCTATGAATGAAAGCATAGAGATTCTATGCACAATGCGATATCGAGAGCTTAAAGTTATTGGGATCAGAAAACTACACCGGTAATTCGCCACTGTAGGTTGCCTCATCAGAACGACTTTTGATCCGATAAGAACACCAATTTAGCAAGCAGGCGAGTGACATCCTGAACAAAGAAATTGGGCGTATCTCAGGTTCCTGTCCCTGCACGATCAGGTCTTACGTCTTCCTTCGATTAAGACAATATTAGTGATTTAGTTCACAGCCCCATGTAATAAATATTCTCAAGCAAACGAACAAAGATCTTCGCACATCTGGCGAGATAAGTCAGGCATCAGCCCAGAAATTCAGAGGAACTTCGCATAATCTGATACTCAAGTGGAATCCGTGAAGAGAAACACTACGTATCTTTTTACAGTTTTTTCGACTACAGGTGGTGGAGGAATTGATTTACCATGCCTAATGTTAGCTCGGCCAGCCAACTCGTCTTTCGAAGAGCTCTGGCCTTATCAGGCTCACATGCTGAAATATAACGAAGTGTGTATCTAATCTCATGATGAGCGATAGCACAGCCATTAGAGCTATTGCAGTCGTTACATCGGTCTATCTGTCTGCTTCTTTTGTTTCGGTATGAATTTCCTGCAACTCTCAACCAAACTGTGGGATATACCTTTGCTGACGTCGACAGTGCGGTTTTGCTATGTGATTCTTCGCTACAGCCCAGGAAGATGATATGGTATGCGCAGGTGCACCACAGATATGGATATACTTTGTCTTCACTGTCCCTTTAACTAAATTAATCTTAGCATGTTGGAGATGGACGTCTTAACTAGAACATCAAAACCGTGCTTTTTCGGTAATTGGAAGGGTGTGAAATTTGTAACTCGTATGATTATAAGTGGCTAAGTAGAAGAAAGAAAGAATTTGTCCAAAAGTTTTGTACATGATGACCCAGTGCACTCCCCAACGCCCCATCCATGATATGTTAAAGAATGACCGACTTGAGCAGGTTGTCTATTCTTCTTAATGAGTAGGATCAGGTCCGGTGGGTGCCTTAATCCAGCCACTGGGGATCTGAGTAATGAAGTCATACCAGCTATCTCCCATCTTATGGTATCCAGCTTCGGAAGGGTGTACGCAGTCGTTGGAAATCAGATTTGGCCAAAACCCAACGAAGTCTGCAGCCAACACCTTCTTGTTCGCATCGAAGCGCTTCTTGACAACCTCCGACGTGAGCTTCTGGAACTGTGTGGTACGCTGATTCTGGGCCGCGTGATTGCTATCGCCGCAGGTGGGCATGATCAAGGAGACCAGGATGGTAGCATCAGGGCACTTGGCGATCATCTTATCGATGAGGTTTCCGAGTCGCGCAGCAGCGTTGGCAGGGTCGTTGCCCTCTGCGGCGATGTCGGGGTTTGAATTCATGTCGTTGGTTCCGGCGGCAAGGAGTATGATGTTAGGCATCTGTGCCAACGACGCGTCAACTCGATCATTTATGTACTTGATAGTCTTTCCCGGCCATGCAGCCTGTTACGTATTGGCGTTAGCAAATGTAATTTCATGTAGAAGGGAACGAATTAATCAATTACATAGTAATTTCCCTTCATGGTGCTCTTATCGGTGGTGATAGTGCCCGCAAACACGACATCATTCTCTTTGAGGCAATGGTTAGCATTCCCCCATCCCAAAGAACCAGGTTCAGGTCACATTGATGCTCTTACTTGACAGGTCTTCACGAAGCTTTCCCCGGTACCCGTTCCCGTCTCCGTGCCAGGGAAACCCGGCGGTGATAGAATCGCCAACAGTGAGGATACGGAGCTTCTTGCTGCCCTTGATTTCGACTCCAGGGGCGGTATTTTTCCATAGAAGACGGTGAGACGTGGGCTGGGCTCTAGAAACAAGGTCGGGTGCCGCAACAATACTGTCTTGCGTGCTAGTCGGGACGGGACCAGAGTGAGCAAAGGTCAGCAGGTTGGCCACGCTGGCGAGGATGAATAGCCCTCTCATGGTGATGTAGTTTGGGAGTTCCCTAAAAGGTGATATACGGCTTCAATTCTTGTGATCGATGGAGTACAGGATGGTAGAGAATAAAAGGGAAGCGCGTGGCAGAAAATAGAGTAAATAATAAACGATGTCCTAAGAACACTATGCGCCACAAAGCCCCTTTTGCCAAGGCCGAGGCCATCATGGATTCACGGGCCAGATCCTTACCTCATTCCTCCAGTCTCAACATGAGGCCTTCCCTCCCCCTGGACGAGGGATGCTTAGCTGTCAACGGCATTATAGCCACTTCCACACCCACGGGCCGATGCAGGACTGCTGTACGCCAAGTAGAGTCTAAAATTGGGTAGGATTGTTGTGGATGGGGGAGCAATCTCCGTAAGAAATCTTCCACAACGGGGAATTAAACGAACACATCACGAAGTTATGGTGTTGTACACCACCAGTCCCGGTGCAACAATGAGGGGCGCAGCCCTCACCAAAGTCGCAACAGAACTGCTCAGTTGGGCTGAGTGAGACAAGAATAAAGTAAGGGGCCATTCCACGTTGACCCGCCACACAGGGACGGAGTTCAGTGAGGTACCAGAGCGTTTATGCTAGTATCTTCCACTCATACGGTTTTGTTCTAGCGGTTCTCTTTGAACCAGGGATGACTAGCCCTATGTCTAAAGATAGCCACGTTTTCGTATGAGCATTGACCGTTATCTGCCTCGCATGGTAGGTAAAATCAACCAACGGCCACCACCCTAATCAGGATTGTTCCGAGTTCCACTGCCCTCACAAAGCAACCAACCAACAAGACAAGTCCAAAGCTCTTGTGAAATACGCTCCCGCACTGCATCCGCACAACCTGCGTTGAGCCAACTTTGTGTTGCTTTGGGGGTCAAGGTGCCGTCACTTGACTGATGCGTTCTCCACTTCCTCTACCACGGTGTGAGCGGGCTTAGGCATACAAAGACGTGGAACATAATCATTTATCCTTTCAGAGAGGCCTTGGATGACAATGACGGCATTGTGTAAGCGGCAGTTGGTTGCATTTGGCCCCATGCATGAAAGGAACATGACAAGCAACTCCTGGCACAAGCCTAGCTTTCCCTACTAACCCGTCCTCCTGAGAGCTACGAAATCGAAGCGGTTGGTCTCTTTTCATAAAAAAATAGCCTCCCTACATTCCTAAAGGGTTCGCGCAATTCTGATTGAATGCCTGTCGCAAATCACCAACCACTTTCTAAAAACACATCGCTCCAAATTTCAGCATTCCTCAACCGCCATCGGAGCTTTCCCCCCCCCCCAAATTCTTAATGATTCTATTTCGGCAGTTGAGTTTCATATTTTTTTGGTGGCTAAGCATGGGCTGGTCATCAAATTTGGGTACTTCGGTGCGGTGGTCACTCAATGAGTACTTGATTTCAGGGCTCGGACGCATGCAATCTCAAAAGTTCCATCTCATCCCTAGCGACATACCTACAAGAAATTTGTCCTGTAAAAGCCTCAGGTAAGAGAACCAGACGCTCAATATCCGGCGGTTCCCATTAGTGGTCTCATAAAGAACCACGTCCTGTGAATATAAAGGTTCACAACGCTCCCGTGTCACGTCTGGCCCAAGCCCGACTGGAGAGCTGTTAAACAAACAACGGGACTAAGGGCTCTTGGCGAATGAACTGCGGTCAATCCCGTAATCCTGAGAGCACGTATATTAATAGGTATCACCTAGCGGTTCCTATAATTTGCCCCACGTCGGTCCTTAGACCAATCCTGGTGGCCATTCAACCGGGTGACATAAGAGATGAGACACCAAATTCTTGTGCGTTCTCTGTAGCCATCAAATGCTGCAATAAAGACACAATAACCCCTATAAAAGTATATTAATCCTCTTATTAGCCTCTCAATAATATCAATATCCTTTTTTGGTCCTTTTAAGGAACTTTAGAATCAAGTTATAGTGAATGCAATACAGAGCCTCTCTGATTATGGAGGCTTGAAGTACCGGTTTGGTGTCTCATCTCTTATGTCACCCGCTTGCCAGTGCAACGATGCCAAGTCAAAGGGTATAGGAAGACCAAGCTACTAGCCAACATCACAGACAGAAAGGAGAATGATCTTGTGCCAAAAGTGAGGAAAAAACAGAAATCAGAGGAACAAGGGATTCGGTCTCGTGGGCTCAATGATATGAGATCGGTCGGTTTATGCGATTCATTGGCTCAGAAGAATGGAAAGACTCGTTTGTTCAAGGCTAGCAGTTTCAAAAGTGAATGTGTAAGTGGGAAGAGGTAAGTGGATATTTTATCCGAAGAACCTAGATCTTTATTATGCAGGTTCATCCCAGCATTGCAAGTGCTCTCGACTCAATTTTTAGTCCTGTGGCGGCTGCTGACCAAAATTTTGGGTTTCGAAAGAAATGCAATATTCACTTTTCTCAATTACATTCGGACAGACAGGAATGTGCTGTCGTGTAATTCAATAGGTCTGCTAGGAAAATACATCAGCTAGTGGAAACCGCCAACTTTCAGTCCTGTTCTATAACATAATCAATTTGAAAAC